TGTTGTTGGCAGGAGCTACTGCAGCAGCAGCAGCAGCAGCAGCATCTAGCAAATTGCAAAATTTGTGACGCATTTCGGAACCCCTTGCAAGGATCACAGCCTGGGAAATGGGACGCGACATTAACCGACCGTAATGCATGTTCAATAAATATTTGGTAATTAAATAAATAGCTAGCTGAGCTAGAGAAACTGTAGCAGCAGCTGTGCAGCTTTTTGGGCGCATGCGCGTCCTTATCAAGAGGGAGAGTGTTACAATTTCACTTTTTTCGTGGGATTCCGAAGGGTTCCGGTTCTGGGCATGGGAGCGTTCCTATGCGAAGCGCACTGATAGAAACCCAAATTAGAGCAGGGGTTTCGTCTACAAGTTTGAGCGATCGTGTGACGAATTCTGAAGTGAATTATAGGCTAGGCACGAGGGTGATACTCTTAGTAAGTATTGTAGGTACGATATAGGGCAGGTGACTCAACATAGGAGGGTAATTTTAAGATCCCCAATCAAAATCACTATTTCCCATCACTATTTATTACATATTTTCGTATCTTATCTGAAATATATGTAAATGGGCTGTATTTTATGAAGGAAACTTTCTGTAATTCGTTTACCTCCTAGGCTATTTAGTTTTATACGGAAATTTCTTGAAATACAAGCAAGGCATTTGGCAGTCTTCACATGGTTATAGAACCTTTTAAGAACTTTTTAACAACAAATTTTAAAAATTGTTCAATACAAATGTAGAAAGTTAGCCAAATCATAACTGAACGGATTTTTGTAGTCAATGGTACAATCTCTTCTTAGCAGATTGCATTTACCTTTTTTTCAACATTATCATATTCTCTTCCAAAACTTTCGCTATAGTTTACCTCTCAGACTTTAGCCATGTACTAGTTTATAATCTATAAACTATATACGAACTTGCACTCGCATTCAAATGGATTTCACATGTGAATCAACTCCAACTCCATCTCTTTTTTTTTTCTGCGCACTGCACACAAAGATGGAGTGCCACGCCCATTTTGACATTCGCTGGCATCTCCTGTGACTTTTTCCAATTTTTGCACAATTACCCAACAATCGATGCTTTCTCCGCAAATCAATTGCGAAAAAACACAAACACAAACCCCATGACACATTGCACAGCAGCACAGTGGCAAGGCGAACCTGAAGGAAACCCTACCTTACCGTAGAGCCCTACCTTACGCTACCTTAATCAACCTTGTGCCACACCCTGAGTGCCAGACAAAAGGGTAGAGGAATAAAGTCTGGCCAAGACTAGGGTATGTCAAATGCCAAAGACGTTTGCTACAAATCTCTTCCTCCAGGCACATACACACACACACACACATGCAGAAATGCATGAATAAGTACATTTGGAACCGGCTATAGGAAGTAAGAAAAAAAAGCGAAGGAAAATGCGAAAGGGGGGTAAAGCCAAAGATTTAATTGCATTTTTTAGCGCGCGCGCTCATTGCGAAATTTCAGCTGTGCCTCAGCTGTGGCAGCTCGACTCCTGGGCATTGATAGGAGGGTCGATAGGGTTTAAGATCCTTGAATGGACCGCATCGATCGATCGATTTGCAACTGCGCCGCAACAGTTAGCAACGCTTCGCTGCCTCAATCGACCTCAGTCAGGACTTGAGATCCGAGCCGCATTGTCATGTTAATGTTGCGAAATGTGAATTTGATTGCCTCCTGCCGTAGATCAATAAGTTCACTAATGAGCTAAAGGGTTATTCCAAACGAGCACCGAGCGATCTATCGAGTTTTCGCAAAGCCCATTTGCATTTTCCATCACAGTTTTCACCATTCAGCCTGCATTTTCCGTTTCGTTGGCGCTGAATGCCGCGTGTGCCATGAATTTTAGATGCTACTCAAAAGTTTCGGGAGCAACCCGTTGTGAAAGCTGCCCCTGCTCTCTCTCTACTCTACTTTCCATTCCATTCACCATTCACATTCAAATTGGCCCACGTTGAGCGCTAAAAGGACCTTAAGGCGTTTTAAGTTGCTTACTTGGTAGCAGTTAATTGGTTTGAAGTTTTACGCTGATTTGCATTTCCCATTCGAATTGTGTCTGGCGAAAGTTCCTAATAGGCTCTGACAAGCGACCGAAGTTTTTGATTAGGCAAGTTCTTTGTTTGCCCCGCCATGGTGTTGCAATGTTAGCGGGCGGCCTTTCTCTAGCTTATTAGGGGCTGCACATAAAGTCATTTATGTAAAGTTAATAAATCTATTAACCTGCAGGGCTTCTATTGTCACAATCATAGCAAGTACAATAGAGCATGGAACTGGGGTATATAAAGCGATTATCCGACTAGAAACTGAAATTTTACTTTGCACTCTTCAAGTTGTTTCTATACAAGCAGGTATTTCTCTATTATAAGTTCCTGCTTATTATAAACTCTATAGATCTATTTTATAGATCTCTCTATATTATAAATCTATTACAAATCAGACTAGAAACTGAAATTTGACATTTGGCTTTTCAAGATCTTTCTCTATCGGCAGATCTACCTATGCTTATTATAGATCTCTCTATAAAATGTCTCTCCCTATTTGATAGTTCTCTCTCAATTATAGGTCTTGGAATCTACCCAAGAAGTCTCATTCAATTTCTTTCAAATTAAACATAACTGAGACTTTCTATTTAGGTTCCTCCCAATGTCAGCCGTCTTATAGGTGATCTCAGACCTCTCCTCATAGCAACTGCCACTTAGACAACTAAACTAAAAACTAATATAGAATAAAAGTAGTGGACTACAAGGTATACATAGATTCGCGCCTGGACCTTAATTGATCTACCATTCAGCCGCGTGCCGTCTGCTCCAAAGACAAATTATCTGGACAATGTCCTGTCCATGTCCTGGCAGCTTGCGAAACCCCACGAGCACAATGCCAAAATAATTAGCAGCTATTGATGGTCGAACGGCATCGGACGGGGCGTGACATGTCAAAATATGTGCACAAAAACGCCCACGGCAAATGGAAATCTTCGTCTAGGAAACTAAGACAAGAGAATAGGAAACGAAAGGAACTGAGAGGAATGGTAAAGTCAACCCAATCAAGGGGAAAGTCAACCCCAAGTGCGGCAGCACTCTATGTTAGATTATCAATGACAGAGCAGCCGGCGCTGCTTGCAGCTTCATAATTTTCGGGCAGCAACAATTTGCAGCAGACGAAATGCAGCAGCTGCCGCTGCTTGCAACAGAGCCTCGTCTTGAGACATGCAGCGCTGAGGTTGCTGCCCCCAAGGAAACGCGCCCGAAGTCCTGAAATTTATTGATAGCGTCTTGTGTGTGTGTGTGTGAGTGTCTGTGTGTGAGGCGATATACATGTATGTGTGCACTTTTTTGCATAAACACACACACACATACACACCTTGAGCAATTCTTGCAGTTTTTTGATTGCTTTTCACTTTTCTAGATGCTCAACTTTAGTTGTTGTGTTTTTTTTTTTTTTTTCGTTTTCTGAGATTTTTGCATTTGCGCGCATTTCTACACTTAAAAGCACCACCGGCTGCGGCTGCTGCTGCGACTGCTTCGGCACTCGTACTGCTCCTGGCACCACCTTCCTGAGCACGTCATCGTCACCCCAATTTTAGTTGCTACCCAGAGCCGAAACTTCTCATTATACTCCCTGTTTTTGTGTGCGTTTGTTCTCGCTTTGCCTGCTTTCTTGCTTCTCGTCCTTGCCTCCGGTTTTGTTTCCTTGTGCATCAATTGCCGCATAGCTCGCGCCAAGAAAACGCATATGCCACCTCGATCGCCCATAAGTAATCCTGCCTCCTTGGCACACACACACACATACAGACGCACACACACACAGTTGCATGCAATCGCATTTGAAATGAAGCAAAAATTTAATGAAACGTGGCAAGGAGCAGGAAAAACTCTCCAAGTCTGAGCCGAGCCGCCGTCTGAGCAGCTGCTGGGCTGACTGGATGGCTGGGCTGGGCTGACTGGCTGGCTGCCCAGGAGGGTTCAAGTTTTGACTACATATATATACATATATATATGCTTGAGCGATCGTACATGTACTAGTGTTAGGCAGCAGCACCACCAACAGCACCACCCGATCGAGCAACTAATGCCACCGCATGGCTGCCACACCAAAAACACCAACAACAACATGCAACATGGAGTGCATTATTCATAGGGGGTTTCTTTCAGACGGCAAGACGTCTATATAAATAAACGGAAGAACTGTCATGACAATGACCCCAATGTTATTAATACGGCTGTTGAGAGTTCCGTTAGAAGGGGAGGTGCGTGTGTGTGTGTGTCTGTCTGCATGCACATGTATAGAAAAATGTCACATTATCATATCCAATGCATATAGTATATGGGACACATAGATATCTTACTACTGTCTTAGGTTAGGCACATGATAAAAAAGTTAAGCAACATTAATAGGGAAAGCAAGCAGTTCGTTGAACTGAAATGGCATGTGCCACAAATGGTGTAATTCCTAGAAATCGGCAAAGGGGTAGATGTATGAGTTTATATAGGTATTATCTAGAATTATTAAAGACTTTACTTGATAAATAAATTTTAAGTTTTTAAGCTAGTCGAAATTTCGATAGAGAATCAACTAGGAGCGAATACGATTGGAAATAAGAAGCTTACTCTACTTATAGAGGAGTGTTTGAACTTTCCAATGAGGATATATGATATAAGCTTAGAAAGAAGACCTCTCAAAATTAATTCAAATTCAAGAATTCAGCTAAAAGTCTATTATAAAATTCTATAATCCCTTAATTTCTGAGTACAAAAACAAACCTTTAATGACCCTCAGCTTGATTTTATAAGATTGTATGTAACAGTATGTATTTACCATGCATACATATTCATGTCATATTCATATATTTTGAACCACGTTGCTTTACATAATTTTGTTTCTCGAAAAAACAACTCTGAAAACCAACTGCCGGTTGACCATCAATATTTATAGATATCTAGAGTTGAAGTTTCATTTACATACGAAATGCAAGCAAAGTTATGAGCCTCAGCATTTTCACCTTGTGGCAATTAACTGTTTATGAAATGGAGCTAAATATCAATTGGAATAAAAGTCCATTTTTGAGTTCAATCAAGAAGTGGGGAGAGTGTGTAGGGAATGCCGGCAAATGGGGAGCTCATTGGCAACCCCTAAGTTGAGCTCGGTTAATTAGCCAACACTACCGACTGCACTTAGTATTGGTAAGCAAAACAAAACACATTGGGGCAACCCTTTAGAGCTGCTCCCTAAGCACTTACCAAATTTGTTAGTCAGCGATAAACAGTCGAGAGCTGTTCGAGTCTTACAAATGTGTCACATTAAGACGGCACAAAATATGGGACAGATGGTTTGGCTATGCTGCACATACATACATACTTACATGTATATATATGTATTTTCTTTTTGGCTTGTGCCAAGCGAGAAATAGTTGAAGGTGTCGAGAGTCAGAGAGACGGCAACGGTGGCGGGCAACGGCAAGCGCCGGCTGCTTAGAGCCCAGACCTAGCCTAAAGAGAAGCCCATTATTATTATTTGCTGTTACAATTTTTCGTATTCCTTAAAGACGAACCCCGCGCGCGCTTTGGCACGAGCTACATAGAGCCACGTATGATCAGCTGTGTGGCAAGCCAAGGGGGATGAAATGCATACACTTACATATGCATGTGTGTGTGTGTGTGTGTGTGTGTGTGTAAACCAGGTGGCAGTGGCGGCGGCAACGGCAACCCCTAAGACACGGCGTCGGCGCAACGTCTTGAGCATTGGCATTGGAAATTGTGCAAAATCGATTACAATGATTGCGCAGGACAACGACCAGGACAGCGACAACGGAAGAAGGAAGAAGAAAAGGGAGTCGCTGCAGCGTTGTAAGTGCCACAATGGCTATGCGCCGGAAGAATAATGGCATTAAAACATTGAGCAGCAGCATTGAGCAGCAGCAGCAGCAGCAGCAGCATTGTCAGCGCATTGCAAGATGCAGCTACGGGGCCCGGTGTGGCTCCGATTTGGTCCTGTTTTGCCACGCATTGTTGATTTCTTGATGTAGTTTTTGCACACATTGCGCAATGATTGCTGCAGCGACAGCAGCGACAGCGGCAGCAGCTCTTGGACATTTAATGTCCAGTAATTTATGAAGATTTTCAGCAAAGGACCCGTGCCGAGCCCGGTGTGTGCCACAAAGATGTTTGACTGGGCTTGCGGTCGGGCCGCTTGCCGTGCTATTGCACAAATTTGACTATTGTCGTCATCGGCTGCTCTATTTCTGCTCAGCTGCGCATCGAGTTTGTTTTGGGCATTGAGCTTTTGTGCAGCTGCCAGGCGGGCGGCCCGCTGCTTATGATTTATGTCAGCCATGTAATCAAGGACTTGTGCCTTGATTAAGCTAACGGGTCATTGACTGTACGCGGCTGAGCAGGCAGCTGCACGCATGTCTGTCTGCTCGAGCAGCAGTAAAAGCAGCCGCAGCAGCATCATCACCCCAATAGAGGGTATCATCAGCACGAAATGAAAATGAAAATCAAATTCAACACCAGCATGAGCCAACACCTGCCTGTTACAACTTTACAGGGGCCCGTGCCACATCCTGGGGGTTGAACCACCCCAAAAGTATAATGGTGCACCACCAGCCCGATACTCAGCTACCACCAACAGGCCAGACCAAACAAGTCGCACTCATCTAGGCGAGTGGGTGAGTGCGACTAGCGGTTGCCCTGTAAAAAGCTGCAGAAAGCTTGCTCCGAGAGACTCAGGCTGAAGGCATAATCTAAGCCTTGAAGGAGATTGTAGGGCCACTACTTTAAGAGAAATCTGAGCTATATCGAATAGAGATATAATATATGTAACTATAATTGTACTTTAAAGAGTCAGACATCATAGACAGTTATATATAAATATGCCCAAGTAAACTTTTTCTTTACAGAGTAAAACGTTTCCCTGTTTATACCCATGCCTATAATACCCCCCCTCAATCACTGCCAAATACTACAGGGTATCAAGCAGAAACGACAACACCAGCAGCAGCACCACCCTCTCTGGCGGCTGTCCTTGCAGCCGTTAGATTCACACAGGCGCTTATGTCCTGCTAGCCAGGACTATGCTGGTTGCGCACTGTACTCGCCTGCTAGCTAAGCTGAGGGCGCATACACCACCATCGCCGCACCACCAGCAGCGGCAGCAACAACAACACAAGGATCATCAAGCTGGCTGGCAATTAAACCATTTGCGGAAATGGCGTCCACTTGTTTTCATTAGCGATAGAGGGGCGCTGCCATGAGCCACCCTTGTACGAGTGCGCAGGATCTAAGCGCACGTGCGCATGCGCCACACTTTCGCGTATTTCTGATTGTAAAAGGATCTGCCAACACACACACACACACACACACAGCAAACACTCACTCACACACACACTGTCACACCCTCTACCAACGCTGGTTTGATATCCTGATGCCGGCATAACAATGCCAATGTTAATGCAAATACAATCGCATCCTTTCAATTTGAAAGGTCCTTTTGTAGCGCTGTGTATTAACAATTTTTGGATAAATATTTCAAATGCATCCGATGCGGGCGCCGTGTAGTAGGCACGTTTTCCTAACACGCTCACCCTGCCCCATTGTGTGGCAGAGCTGCCGAGAAGTGTATCCGGCACACGTGCCAAATGAATGCGACCAGGACGAGTGCTACATATTTGGGGCGTTAGGTGGATTTGCATATGACTGAGGCGGCTATTAAATAGCAGACGTTGCGTTTCTTTGAGTTATTATATGATATTGGAAGAAGATTACGTCTTTATACAGTATATATCGTATATTTAAATAGAAAAGTCTTCCAGGGTATGATTAATAATATGTTTCTTTGCTCAGATAAGCATAATTTGTAGAAAGTCCTTCATCATATTTTCTCTTAATAAATCTAAATTTATCAATTATTTTTAGTTTCGTTCCCACATTTTTACAAAATTACCTTTTTACTACAAAATAAAATCTTGATATTCTTAGTTAAGATCAATTCGATAGAGTAGAACAAAAGATAGAAAACAATCAACACCTTCTGTACGTTAGAGCTGAAATTCTTAGAAACTGAATGTGTTGACATGAGTATTTAACTCCTAGGGAGCAACTCATGCTCCTAGGACATCCTAGGCTCGAAGGAAGAAACCTAAAAAAAAATATAAAAATAAATCTCATTTAATTTAATAAAAATTAATATTCATATTTCCTTTCTACAAAAGTAAAAGTCAATAGATTGTTTATTTTATAAATTAAGATTGGCTTAAACTACGAAGGAGAGTTACTATATAATAGATATTTAACAAATATGATCATGCATATGTAAAAGGAATCATTTTAGCAAGGCATACCCTCAACACAATTCTTGTCTAAGACTAGATGCAACTACCCACATATGCCACACACACTTTTGTAGCTTAACAAAGTATGCAAACTTAAGTAAACAATAAATTTTTTAAAAGCAATAAAAATAAATGAAATGGCATGCAAAATGAAGTTATTTTTAGAGAAATTCAAACCTGTGCAGTGAGTGAATTATGAGCCAGAGCCATTCGCTGTCAAGACAGTGGACTGATGCTCAGCAAGCGAACAGTAGGAATGGCCACATACATATGCACATAAACGTATATACACCTATATATGTATATACGTAGGTGTGATCAAGAGAAGCAAAAAAAGAAGAAGGGAAAAGAAGGCCAGGCGAGCAACACCTTACACGATGCACAGAACAGGTTGCAGCCAAAACAGTCGAACAATAGGTAGATCAGCTCACGTATTCATAATTGTTGTTGTTGTTGTTGTTGTTGTTGTTGTTGTTGTTGTTGTTGTTGCCGTTTGGTTTCTAACATTTTGGAAATCTGCGCAATCTGCTTTGGTATGCACGGGGCTATGGCCTGTCAATATGGCTCGCCTCGCAGCCGATTCTCCAAGCCTCCTGATGATGAGGATGTGTGTGCCCGTGTAGATCGTGGCGATGACTAGGAAATATTGCCTTTCCTAAGAAGGATTTGTGTCAGCAAACGTGACTCGAAACATCAAGTGGTATATTGTAGGTGTATGCATGTGTGTGTGTGTCTGTGTGTGTGTGTGTGATTATCGATCCTTTTGTATGCACGCCTGCCTATTGTTTGAATAGTTAATTATGGGTTGGATCAGTGTACACTCCTTTGAGCCAAGCCAGTGGAGGCCATCAAATTTCTACAACTTTTTCCTCTCTGATTGTTTGGCACTTTGTTTTAGGCATTTTTACCGGTAATTTGGGAATTAGTTTTAAAGATTTTTCGTATTTCCTATCGCCACAACGCCCACAATACACACGCTGCCGGGGCGTGCCAGCGTTGACAACTGCTGACAATGACTTCATTTGTTCATGTGCCAAAAAATAAGTATATATATATATAAAGAAGAGAAGAGAATGAAATTCTCATGTATATAAATTTTTGCAGATTAATATTACACACATATGGCCAGCGTTGAGTACCAGATGATGGATCGGCATATTGAGTTGTACTTGTTCTTCTGTCTGAAATCCAACTACTCATACGAACATATATGTATATGCATAGTATGTATCTGTATCTGTATCTGACATGTGCCTTTGTCTGAGCCACAATGTGTTGAATGTGCAATTGCAAGCCATTTAGCAGTGGGCAGAAGAACAGCAGCAAAAGCAAAATTGCTAGATATTCTAGTTAAGATATTGTTAATCTCTTAATGAGTTCGTAGTAGGCATACGTTAGCCTGGCATATGATTATAAAGATGTTCGAAATATGAAAAAAAAGGAACTGGAAAGAATAAACCGAGTAAATTGCTTTACTTGAGGTCGGTACTCAATATTTTTCGAAATTTCAAACTCGTCTTCGAATTACAAAAATTTTTTGTAATAGATCAATTTAGATTTATCAAAATTATGAAAGACTTAAACAGATAATCATTATGAAATTCTGAAAATAGTTTAATTTAATATTCAATAGAATAATATATTTTTTTAATATTATTATAATATAATATTAAATATTAAAATTTGCAATAATCTAGAATAAATCGTATATTAAATGCAAATTATATATGTTTATATAAGTATTAAATAAATAAAAGTAAATACAAAAATTAATCTTAAAAGAGATTATTTTCTTAAATTAAATAAAACATAAATCTTATAAGATGACCTCTTAACTTTCTCCTAACTTCCCATCCTTTAGCTGGTCTTATGACTTTCTCCCTGCCTGCCAATTGAAACCAAGTGAAAGCATTAGGGATTGACATGGACCATTTGTGATCGGTGAATTGTCACAGGATAGACAGAGAGCGAGCAAAGTTCCATCCCACGGTACGGAATGCACCCATGTCACATAAATAAAATTTGTATATGCGATTAAATTTGAAATTCAATCGTAATGCATTTCGAGCACAAGGCGAACTGTGCAGTCGGTTGTCAGTCAGTCTGTCAGTTGGCCACACGAGATGTCCTACGATCATCCTTTCAACCCTCCCAAAAAAAACCGAAAACTAAATCTCAAGACATAAAGAAGAAGAAGGAGAAGGAGATGAGGAACGGGCACAGCTTGAACTGTGATAGACAAAATCTTGTCATAACTTTGATGTTGTTAGTAAAACAATGCAATTGCTCTGCCCGACTGGGCCCCTCGCTCAAGGTAAGCGACCCATCCCGCCTGGGAATGGGAATGGGTATAGCAATGGGAATGGGAATAGGACTGGGATGGGTATAGGACAAATGGAAAAATTTGCTTACCTTGCCGAGGGGTGCAAAACTTGGCAGCTGGGCGATCGTTGGGATTATGCAACATCAGCCACATCGATGCCATCTAATGTGCTGTGTAATTCACTTAGACATTGAGAAATTGCTGGACCAGGCGCCTCAAACAGTAAAGCCCCCTCTCCAGTCTGTGGTTGCGCTCGGACAACTGATTTGACTGATTTCAGTGATTAAACTGCGTTGTTCTCAAGTCCGAGTTCTAAGAAGCAAACTGCGCGTTGGCAAAGATGCGCGTAAGATGAATAATTACGAAGGCCCCAAGTTGATCGTGATAGACCCACAAATACCCTCTACAGCTAGCTAAGGATGTAACTTGAGTGCTTGCCCAAAAAGTCTCTCAATTTCTCTACACAGACTTACTTTAATACTTCTCTGAAAGGAGCAGAAATAGACCAGAGATCAACTTAGCATCTAATTAATAATAAATAAGGTCTTTGCCTCTATTTTATGAATAACTTCAATATACCCTTGTTTACTCCATATAGGCCAATCCAGGGTATACTCAAGATTAGGATCAACGCGAAACAAATCATCTCCAGAGATGCATGAATGAAATGCCCCGCCACGGACAGAGAGACAAACATACACATATACATATATAGCCATGCCCATTGTTATCCCGGATCTGGTCAGGCGGATAGCTCAAGTCTAACAAAAGGGTTGCGTCCCAAATGTGTTGAAAGGCTGCGCGAATGTAACACGATAAGATCGGCACATCAATCCAAAAGAAATGCTATCCTTAAGAATGTTAATCAATTAATTACATGCTGTGTACACAGTGTCTCACAGCGTTAGGGCCAGAGAAAGGATTCCGCGGCGCTAGGGTTGAGCCCTCTGATTAATTTCCACATATCCCGAAGCTATAGATTGGCTACATGCCCATATATGTATATAAATAAATATATTTAGAGCCATTGTGGTTGTCCAAGATGTTAGCATAGATCCCTTAGGGCGCGAATCTATTGAGGCTCTACTAAAAATTAACTGACCAATGGTCAGTTCGTGGGTCAGTCGCGTGGCTGTTATTAATCTAAACATAAACATTGACCACTGGCCGAGGGTATCAAAGCGCGAAGGGGTTTGAATCGGAGAAAACCCATCAAGGATATCATATTAGCGTGACAGAAGTCATTGATCATGACGGCGACCCAAACAAATCGGACTATGGACTATCATTAAGCTAATTGTTAATATATTTGCATATGAGTTCGAGTTAAATTTTTGATAATAAAATATATAAATTTGATATAATTTATTATAATAATATATATAATTTTGATAAGATTTATGCAAATTTCATCAAATATATATAAATAGTATATAAAAATATATTATAATATAATTTATTATAGTAAAATAATTTTGATATGATTTATGCAAAAAAAAAAATTGTTCAATTCTTAAGAATAATTGCTTGAATCTGATACTTTTAATGTTTTTTTGCGAATGATTCTTACGCTTCAGGATTATAGATAGAGCAGTTGAACACAAAATATAGTCCAAAGATCAACAAATCTGCCTTATAAGTATTAAATATCTTTGATTCCATATGCGATAAAATCTTAAACAGTTTTTCAAACCACAAATTTTAGTCATTAATATCTTCAACATTAATATTTCCGACAGTATATTATTCCCTTTATTAAGACTGAGCTCTATATTTATCACATATTTATTATTATTATTTATCATTCATATATAAGGATTCACAAAGATATTTTAAGCAGAACAGAGCCTTGATCCAAATAAGTAAAAAGTCTTTAGCCACAGCCTGAAACACTTGAGAAGACAAGTCAAATAAAATGAAATAAAATAAAGGCAAACAACATAAATATATATGAATCGCATGCTGTGTGGGAACCAAAATGCGGCGCAACATGTGACAATGAAGATTTCGCACTGCCTGCTCGAGATCGAAACAGAAACCGAAATGCTTATAATGCCAAGAGATTGTTTCAATGTCGGCACTTGTTGCGACCCAAATTGTTGGCAAAAATAAGAGCATAGAAAGAACTAAAACTGAGAAATGCTGAGACAAAAGCTGAAACACCAGCGCAATGAGTGCCGGCCACAGGGCGAATTGTCCTGTGAGAATGGCGAACCACTTGAGCCAGGCAGACAAAGGCTGAGCAAGCTGCTACTATTCTAATGATTTAGAAAATTGCAAGCAAAACATCAGCTAATTGTTGATCGATTTCAATTGCAAACTAACCAAGCAGTGGGGGGTGTTTGGGTGCCTGGGAAACTCAAGTGGAATGCGCAGCGGGCAGCCAAATCTGGCAGACAGATGAGCCAACTGCCAGGCTGCCAAATCGAGAGCAGTCTTATCAAGACAGTGCCGGGGCCTGTGCCTGGGCCTGTGCCTTTGCCTTTGCCTAGTCAATGCCCCACTAACCTCGACAAATGTGTCATTTATGCCCCCACATATCATAATTGGAATCGAAATGCGCGCCAAATTCGCGCGCCATGCATAAAATGAATAACTGTCAAAACAATCAAGAGTCTAACTGAAACATGAATACTCTAAAATATATAAATTTATTTCAAGTAATACGATAATCATCAGATTCTAAAATATCTGTTTTTCTCATAACTTCATAATTCGAAAAATTTTATTATATTATTATATTATATTATAATATTTTTATTCTGAGTGCAATCCTAAGCACAATTGATTGGGTTATCTAAAGAAAATATACAATAGAGACTAGACTAGAATAAAATGAATATAGAAAAACTCCAAAAATTTTAACCGTAAGCTCTTCAACAATTAGAAACAAGCCTTATCATAGTTATTCAGTGTATTCCAAGAAAAATACCAACTTTAGCTTTCTCAATTTCAGACTAGATGTATACATATATATTTTATACCTAACTGATATGCATCATTCAGAGCGTAACAAATTCGTAGACTAAATAAAAACAACCTTAACAAGGGTATTGGGAATATAAAAAATATCTAATCGTGTCAAGAACATTGTTCGCTCATTAAATAGCAACAACAACCACAACAACAACCTACTTCCCCACTGGTATAATGTACATTCCCGCACCGCCTTCGCCGACTCCGCCGCCCCCTTTCTCAAGTTGTTGTTGCCTATTTGCCCACATATACAATACCAACTTTTGTTGTGCTGCTGAGCCGAGCAATGTTGATTAGTACTTCCTGAGGCAGCCTCATATCATTCTACACACACGCTCCAATACATGCGTAAAGTTCCTATATATAGACCCTCTCTTATATACATATATACATACGAATGTATATGTGTGTATGTACATATGCATGTATATGTACTATGACTATTTGCCAAGAGCTGTGCAAACAATCCGAGAAATATTGCTGCGGGGAAGCTTCAGCACTGCGGCTTATCAGTGTTGACCGTTAGAAGTTATCATAACAATATGCCATTCCCTAGTTTTGCATGCACTGAACCGTTCCAGCTTGTTGCGGGCGTTGCACAATGCATAGGCCTATGAAATTTCAGGTGTTGCTAAAGGAAATTGATAAAGAGCAAAAATAGAAAGTGCTGGTTGGGTAATAAAAAGTTTAACTAAATTTAAAAGTGTCATATGTTTATTAGAATAGTGAATAGTAAGTGTAATATGGGAAATTGAAGAAATATATATCTGTGAGTATCAAAATATGTAAACAGCGTTTAAAACCACAAAGAAAACCGTTATTTCTTGTTGTTCATTAAATACATTGTGCCCCATTATCAATGACAAATTAATTGCTTCAATTTAAACCGAAATTCAACAATTCATAAATAAAATCCTTTCAAATCTATGGAAATCGTTGTCACCTCCCACAATGAATGTGCAGGGCTTGTCGCGTGACGTGACAGACGATCTGTGGATGCAGAGTAAGTTCATATATGTATGTATGTACACATAGAAACTTACATACATACGTATGTAGACATATGTTTGTATACGAATTGATTGCCTTGGGCTGCCAGGCGGGCGGCTCTTCGACAGCAGCAGCACATTTAAACTCTGAACCCGGCAATTGATTGCCGCAGTGAAAGCTTCATTTGGAGAATGTGAATGTGAATGTGAATGTGGTGAATGTATCGTGAATGATCCGTGTGAGTGTGTGTGTGTGTGTGAGTGTGCGTGTTCGTGAATGAATGCGTTCTCTAACATCGAAATGAATTGCTTATTTTGACATTTATTAAAGCTTTAAATAAAATTTATGCAGAGAATCAATTAGTGTGTGCAAGAAACTGGAGCTGCGGACACCAGTGGAGATACGGGTGGGAAGCAGGAGAATTGTGACTGTGGGATCTGGCGGTGGCCGCCAATGGGTAAGAGGACATAAGACTGTAAACGACGGGCGACGGACGGTGGACGGTGGACGGTGGACAGACAGAAGGAACACGCACAGCAGAAAGTCAAGTAACGAAAAATATTTCTCACAATCAGCTTGTAGACAAGGCGCAAAAAGGAACAAGGAACGAATACAGTGCGAGGCGGCGAAGGAAACATAAAATAGCAACAACAAAGCGCGGCAAAGAGGCAAAAAGACAAACGTCGAGTAGCAAGAAAAACAACAACAGCAACAGCAACGACTCTACTGCACATAATCAGAGGAGCGACAAAGACTGCAAGAAATCACAGCAGCGACTGCAGCAGAGCTCAAAGATAAACAGGCTCGCAGACGGCTACACAAATACACATGTATTTACAGCACATAAATACGCATACATATTCCCGCACAGATTGCGCCGCTCTCTGAAGCAGAGTTGCCATTATAGCTGGCATTCGACTACTTCTAGCATTTTGAAGAATGCAATTTGAAAGCTTTTAACTAAATTTGTGAAAGTATTAATTAGGATATCCATATAGAATTTTTAATTAATTTCTTTTAAACACTATCCCCACGAACCAATATATTCTCGATAAAAAGCTAGTATTATATTTTGTTATATTTACATACGTATGTATGTATATTTTTTATTAATTTTAAGCTGCGTCCCCGCAACGTCGGCAAATAAGTTGTACTCTAAAAGCTATTAACTGAAATTATTTAGCCATTTGTGCCTTTTAAACGGCAACTCTACCCATCAGACGAGTCCTGCACACACACATACACTGGCACAGGCCTCTCACATTGACACATATACAGCGGCAACGATTTTGGCGCAAAAATCAAAACGCGTTTCCTCTTTGTGCACCTATTCCGAGCGCTCATGCGCTCTTCACCTACTTCTTTCGTCGATCTGCCTGGCCAATGCACATCGGCGACTGCAAGAAATCTCTGCTCCCCCCCTGCTACGTCTTACGTTGGCACACACACACGCACGCTCTGAGCACACAACACACAGAGCTGCTGCTGTTGTTGTTGTTGGGCTCGTGTTAAGGAATTTTGCGCGCGCGTTGTGCTCGTTCCCCGTGCCTCTCCTTCTGCTCGTGTCACACACATACCACAGAACAGCAGGACTAATTCTCTACTCTGTTATGTGCATGTCCTTCGGGCTACGCACGATCAGCTGATTGAACATATGTACAGACAGAGCCCCGAAAGGAACAGGATTGTGTATGGGAATTGAAACGGGACCGAGGGTCATTCCCCGCGCACCTATCCTTTTCTAACTGTTTGTCCTGCGCACGTGTGTACGTGTATGTGTGTGTATGTGCCCACAGACGAACATTCTTTCTGATCAGCATTTTTCTATGTTACGCTGCTTCTTATGTACATTCTCAGATTTCCCCTACTTTTTGGGACTCCCATGGCCTCGCTTCACTCGAAATTCTCTGCAAAGTTCAAATACCTTCAATGCCAAAAGCCTGTCAACACCTTTGTCAATCTCCAATTCAAATTTGCAATAGCTTTTTGGATGCCAATGTGGAGCTCAATCACAACATACAGTAAAATCTCTGTTAAACGTAAACATTGGTATAATTGGGCCTGCAAATAACATATATGTAATTATACATAATTATCCGTTGTTAATTAATATCTGAATAAAATATAATTCAAACATTATAATTTTCATATTTTTTTATTTCTCTTCTTCTTTTATGATACCTTCCCAAACTTAAGTATCCGCGCAAAAGAGTTCTTACCGTACATACTCTGGAATTTATATGCACACACAATGACACACCAATGCTGGCAATATGCAAATGGATTAAATGGTCATAACTTACCTATCCATCAAATTCTTCTATCTCCGTTTTATTGCACACTAATTGCACGTCTTCTCTCCGCCTCTTTTGTATGCAAAAGTCCTAAACGCCGCGCACACTAAAGACCCACACACTCACACGTACATATGTATGTGTGACACGTACATACAATCATAGCCCGGTACACCCCTCGCACTCGTTAGCTTTCGCGCGCGCGCGTAAAAGTATCTCAAACGCTTTTTGCACACTTTTTTAATGCCGCCGTCGACGTCAGACGTTTAAAAAACAAACCTCCGACCAAATCTCAGACCGCACTTCTTGGAATTTCGATTTACAATTTAGTTCTTCACGTTGTTCGTTCCACTTCTCTTTTTTTTTGGAAGTTTATTTGCTCTTGCTGCTCCCGCTGCTATTGTTGTGTTCCATTCCCATTCACGTTGTTACTGCAATTTCATAGTGTTCGATGCTTGTATTAGTGCGCCGCCTATTCATTCCTCGTAATCAAAATCACTCAATGCATTTGTGTGCGAGTGTTGTTCTGCGTTAGTGTGCGAGTTTTTTGCATAAATTTTTTTGATTTCTCAGTTTGCCCTTTTTGTGCTCTGTGTTCGTCTTCGTCTGTGTCGCCGCACCGTGGTATGTGATCTATGATATTCAAATGAGCACTATAGACGAGCATGGTAAATAGTACAATTGATATCTCTATGATATTTAAATAAAATGCATTACATAAATTTAAAAATACAAATATATTGCAAATAATCAAGCAAGTATGTAAGTACATTTCGCTTAAGCTCTATCATATGGACTTTTATTTTGATGAGCACACACCGCACACTGTGTCACACTATGAATGAGTTTTGAGTGTTTTTTCCATATGCTTTTTAACTTGCTCGGAACCACTTTATGATTTTTGCGTCCTTTTTAGTTTGTTGTTTATTCTTTCAAAAAGATGATCCTCTTCCTGCACAGCACAAAAGCAATTCAAGAGAATGAAACCGTAGCTCATTTAGCTTTGAGCGCATTTCGCGTCGGCTGGCACCGCCAGCTCAAATCATTTACCTTTACCCATATGATTCGCATGATAGTTTTATAAATGATGTCGCCCTATGGTCGCCGTCCAATTTAGTTGTTTCTTCTTTTATACACTGCACTGTGCTGGTAGATTTTGCCTGTTGAGGAATTCGCCAAGTCTTTACAAGCGGCTCTTGGTAGGCACTGCTATACCCATGGGTGCCCCACCGCTTCCCCTCTGTCTTATACGACACGACTCCCGCAGGGCTTGCATACAAACACACATACATACATACATATGTATGTACATACAGACATACTCGCATATGTAACTCGATTTTTGCTTTAACTTTGCCGCAACTGCCCACACACACTTAAACACAGACACGCACACATACACACACATTGAGCGCTGCTCATTTAACGACATTGGCGTCTACGTCTGCAAAACACAAAAGAGCCACGCCCCACTCCTCCTCCCCCAAAGAGCACAGTGTCGATCATATGACTGGGACCTGGCACAACGACTACCTGCTGATGTACGCCTAACGTGGGTCAAGGGGGCCGACAGGGCGGGCAGGCGTCTCGGAATGCGTGGATCTCACATTATTACCTGCGAACGACACAATCGATGCCGCACAGTCGATGCCATCGTCGTCGCCGTCGTCGTCGCCTTTGCCGTCTGTGTCTTCAATTCTGCTTAAAGATTTGCACGCTGCCTGAAGACGCAGGCTGAGGAGCCCGCCGGCTCCAGGCTCTTGCTCTGGTCCCAGTCATTTGGTAGCAACGTAAATCACATGTGTTTTTTCTCGCTTCGGCCTCCACACGAATCGCTGCTCGGCCGCCAATCGGGGCCCATTCGGCTATCGGTTTGGCGCTCAGCGTTGGCGACGACGCGCTTCGCGCTATAAAAGCTCGCGCGCCAAAATTTTCGTATTCAATAGTGCTCCGGCCGCGCATTGGGTAGGGGAAATTGCTAAGAGCTACCTGTTGCACTGGCACTGGTACTGGGACTGGCATTGGCCAGTGATCGAACGCTCGCTCCAACTGCAGAGATTTTCCGATGTCTTCCATCCCATTTCGCCTCATTGCATATTGCTATTTGGGATTGGTATTGAAAATAGAAGAATATGGTAAATGGGAAATTGTCCAATACATATGCACGTACGTATGTAGTTGCTGCTCCCGCTCCTGTTGCTATTATCGCTCCTGCTCTCGCACTCTCTCTCTCTTTGTGCTGCTTCAATTCTCGATCCTGCTCCTGCCGTTATACGTGCTGCTGCTCGCACAAAAGAGCAGCGACGTCGGCAGCGGGGGTTGCATCGACGGCCGCCGCTCTTTAAAACCAGCTGCGCTCGGCTCGAGAACTACATTTGTTTTCTGTTCGTCGTCGTGTCAACATCTGCGCCTCGAGCTGCTCTCCCTCTCTCTGCCATTCGTACGGTAGTGAAGTAAATTTGTGTGTGTGTTTGTGTTAAAACGATTTGGATATAAAATATTAATACAAAACGCAGCACACAAAGAACTCACAAAGTACGTGCAACTACAAACAAATGCAATAATGTTAAAACGGACACAATAATACTAAAAATGATGCAAAACTCCAAAAATAAACACATATACTATATGCAACAACAAATGCAATATTAGTTTTTAACAAATACATTTTACAAATGCAACAACAAATTCAACGAAGGACTACTAAGTGCAAAGTCGCAACTAACGAAAACGAAACGAACTAACAAACTAACTGTAAATGTGCCAGCAAAAGAGACGTGTGAGAATTGTGTTTTAGCAATTTTCGAAAAAGATCACTAAAAGAGAATCGGAAAACCTTCACGAGCTGGAATTCTTTCACCGAAATAGCCAAATATTATTTGCGGTATCTTCTAAGAACTAAAAATTAACTAAATCAAAATGCTGTGGGAATCAATTGCCGAAGAGAACAATTGCGCCATGGATTGCAATATCAGGTAATTATCACTAAAGAATTAGATGTGAAGCATAGAGCGCATGGGAATGAGGATAGCATAGATAATGTAATAAAAGAAAAGTGCAAGTAAATTTTAACAACAAAAGCACCGCGCTTGAACTTGAACAGATCGTGCCAACCAACAACAACCACAGCAGTAACAAAGCCCACACACACATATGCAAGTATGTACAAGCATACAGAAAGCAACTGTGAACAACGGCACTGAGAAGCAGCCGCAAGGCATTCGCCGGCGTCGACTGCGCTGCTTTGCTTTATACAGTTGAACAAAAGTAAGAGTAAAAATGTTTTTTGTTCTCATTATTTTTTGCACGCTCCACACGAGCGAACGACACGTTTTTTTTTTTTTTTTCGGCTGTGGCGCTCAGCTGTTATTGTTGCTGTTGCTTTTTCATTCATTAAACCGGCTTCCGCGAAGCTCGCGCAGCTCCAACAACAAGAACAACAGCTCTGTTCTGTCAATTTGTATACACTGTTCGTAAAATGCAAAAGAGTATATTTTGCAAGCAATTCAAGCTGTCATTTCGACCTGTTTGTAGTTGACAGAGAGTGTGTAGAGAGTATGCCGCAGTCGGCTAATAACGATTTCTTGTGTTATTCTTCGTCTGCTTGTGCTTCGGCTGTCTTGCGTGACCCAAAAAGTCGTCAAAAGTGCAGATGCATTTGACCGCTGACGCAAACAGCCCGAGCGGAACGAGTGCAAAAGGGAAATTCCGCACAGAGTACCGCATGAAAGACAATGGGGCGGGGACGTTTTTAAGTTCTAATTCAAATTTCCTTATTTATTAAACTGAGAGAGTGACAACAACAACACGCATGGAAAATGAGCCCAACAACCCCTCGCAGTTGTTTTGCGCTTCTTCTTCTTTTGCTTGCTGTTGTTGCCTCTACACCACCACCGCCGCCGTCGCCGCCGCCGCCGCATATTTTTAGCTGCGGGTTTAATGACCCGCCACAGTTTAGGCAGCAGCGCAACCAGCAGCAGGAAGCAAACGAAATTCAGTTGACTAATCCTCCCCCTCTCTCGCTCTCTCTTCCTCTTGCCCTTGTAGCAACATGAACAACAAAAACAACAGCAGTCGCCGCGCTCGCCGTGCGCTGACCAACAACACCAACACAAACAACAACATGAACAACATCATGGCTATGGATGCTGAGGAGGAGCTTTCGTTCTACGACGATGACGCTCTGCCGTTGTCGTCGCCGTCGCAGCGCTCGGTCAGCCCGGCGTTGCTCGGTCTGCTCTCACCCGAGGGCTCGCCGCAGCGTTTTCAAATTATCCGCCAGCCCAAGCTCTTGCAGCAGCAACAGCCGGTGGCAGCTGCACGTGCAACCACAGCATCGGCAGCTGGCAGCTCTGCTACGCCTGCGCGCAGCTTTCGCATATTCAACAGCCTCTCCTCGTCGGGCTCCATGGAGTCGTCCATGGATGATGAGTACATGGAGCTGTTCGAAATGGAATCCTATGCTGGCGTCCAACAACCAACCCCATCCTCCTCGCTCACCCTGCCCAGCGGGCTTAACTCGCTGATCAGCGGGCAAATCAAGGTGCCGCCCAAATCTCCGGAGGCCCTCACCATGATGATGCGACGTCCGTCGGTGCGTCGTTGCCTCAGTATGACAGAGACGAATAGCAATCAGCTAGCATTATCACAACAACAACAGCAACCAAAGACGTCAGAGACTGCACGGGATTGCTTCAAGCGTCCCGAACCGCCCGCATCGGCCAGCTGCTCACCCATCCAGAGCAAGCGTCACCGTTGCGTCGAGAAGGAGAACTGCCCCACCGCTGCCACTGCCACAGCAACAGCCACATCAACCCACCCACCCCCACTGCGCAAAAGCATGTCGCTCAATGATGCTGAAATCATGTCCGCTTTGGCGCGTTCCGAGAATCACAATGAGCCGCAGCTAATTGGCGACTTTAGCAAGGCGTACGCCCTGCCCCTGATGGAGGGACGTCACCGGGATCTCAAATCGATCTCCAGCGAGACAGTGGCGCAACTGCTGAAAGGCAAGTTCGATCACCAGGTAGCCAGCTATCGCATCATCGACTGCCGCTATCCGTACGAGTATGATGGCGGGCATATTCGGGGCGCCAAGAACCTCTACACACACGAGCAGATCCTTGAGGAGTTCCTGAGCGCGGCACAGACTGAGCTGCAGCAGCAGCAAAATGCCGCCGCCGGCAACAAGCGAAACATCATCATCTTCCACTGTGAGTTCTCGTCGGAGCGTGGCCCAAAAATGTCGCGATTCCTGCGTAATCTCGATCGGGAGCGCAACACTCATGCGTATCCGGCCCTGCACTATCCGGAGATCTATCTGCTGCACAACGGCTACAAAGAGTTCTACGAAACACAGTCGGAGCTCTGCCAGCCGAGCGCGTATCGCCCAATGCTGGAGCCGGCCTACAATGAGGCCTACAGACATTTCCGGGCCAAGTCCAAGTCCTGGAATGGTGATGGAGGCGCTGGAGGCGCGGCAACGGGTCGCTTTAAGAAGTCGCGTTCGCGGCTCATGCTGTAGATGCGGCTGCTTCTTCATCTTTTTTACGACTGGGTGGCAACGCCCGCAGAAAATGACTCGTATTTGTATATAGAGAGACAGAGATAGAGAGAGTTGGGTATTTATTTCATTTATAAAGAGGAAAACCTTTTAAGTTGATTTTGTTGATTTTGATTTGTTAATTTTAGTTAAGACTTAATTGTAAAGCTACACACACACACAAACACACATACACTGAATCCCCTACAAACACGCTGATGTACATTTTAAGATTTTAACGTTCTTTCTGCTGAATCTTAAGTTCGTTCTTTTCTTTGATCGATTTTTGTTTACCTGTTTTTTTAGATATGAAAATTTTTAACATTTTAGTTCAATTAACTTAGAGCTTTAGTTTGAATTTGTGTAACGTAACAAAAAATGTGCATTATAATCTAAAATGAAAAATTAATGTCATAAAAATTTAAGCGGCCCACATCCCCTCCCCATACCCCACACTAGTTTATAAGCAGAAACAGGCTAAAGATACACACACACACAAACAAACATACATAGATACATACATACACACACATACATTTATATATTTTAGCTATGTTAAGCTTAAGAGTTGAAAGTTGAAAACTTGTGTTAGGTACAATTTACGCTTATTCGTTTAATTAACCCCTCCCCCTCGACCCATGAACAACACCGAACAAAATGAAAAACAAAACAAAAACAAACATCCCCTTATTATGTAATGATTATTTTAAGCAAAGCTTATTTTTGCATCAAAAAAGGCAATATTATTGAAAAAGATATGTACATTTTAAATATAAACACAAAACCCTGAACTGAAAACCAAATGCATTTTATTAATTTACTGAAGAAGTAAAGATGAAGAATTTAATTAACAATAACATTTTGGCGCCAAGTGGCCAGCGCTGCCAGCTTGTTGGCTATGTTTTGGTGCATGTCTTTGCTTACTTAACAGAGCGCTGTTAAGCTGGCTTGGGCTGTTTACTGGTGAGGTTTTTGATTGTGGTTGCTGACTTCTCTGTTCGTGTAACATTAAGTGTGAAGTTGGCTGCGTCAGGAAATTAAATTCGTAACAGCTGTAAGACACTGTTCGGTAGATGGCGTTAAAATGCGTTGGACTTCAAATATAAAAAATTAGCCAAAAACTAAATTAAATTGTTTCTTTCAACGCGACTTACGTTTGATATATAGTTTTGCTTTGCATTTTTATTAATTGTGCTAAATCAATTAAGTTGTCGCGTTAATTGGTATATAATATATATTCTTGCTGATTTTGGCGATTTGAAGAACATTTAAGACAGAGAACTATACAAATTGATTTCTAAATGGGCTTTTAAGCGCGTGCCACAATTAGTGGGCACGGCTAAAGCCAGCTCGAGGGTGCCAACCATTAACTTAATCCCCTTTGACAGCAGATAAGCGCAAATGTTGCAATTAGTGTTTGCGGCAATTACCGCAAGGCTTAAGTGCTACTTAGTTAGTTTGCCACGCACGGTCCACTTTTCCACATTTCCACTTTCCCAGTTTCGCATGCCCTCTCCAACCCTTCTCCCTATCCCCCGACAAGCACTCGGAATCAAATCCGAATGTGCCAGCCACTTGCATTGGGGCCTTAAGTCCTTTCCTCTCTGGCTAATGCACAAATACACTCGCACAAAAGATGGGTGTGGTTCCTCAAATAGTTCAATTTTAATTTATCTATTGACTTTGTAACGCATTTGCAAAAATAAATTGGGCTGTAAATCATAAATTATGTATTTTGCAATTAGTATTTATCATTTTGTTTATAACTAAAATTCTCGTAAACTTAGTCATAAGCATATGAGCCTTTATATAATCGAAAATTAGTAATATATTTAATAATCAAAATTATATTCATTTGTAAAAACCTATAAAAAATATATAATTTAACTCAAGAATTGCTAAAAAAAAATTTTACAAATTGTATATGCATAATATATAATAAATAATTTGTATATAATAAATATTTCTAATTACATTTTTTAAGTAAAAATATATGTTTAAATATTACAATGTAATAAATCAGAAAAATAATTAAATATTTTGTTGTTTTCATTAACAATTTGGAATGGTAAGGCCTCAATTCCTGCTGGAAAATAAATCATATATTTAATATATATTTTTATATTGACAATCAGCAGTATATCATAGCGCTCAAGGCTCCCTAGTTTCGCTCAGTGTAGCTGAGCATCAGACACTGGCGGCGGCTAGCGGGGTGCCCAAATGCCAAATGTGTTGCATGCTGTGCGTGTCCATGCTTATCTGTGCTGTGGGTGGTGCGAGTGGGGCTGGCGACTGTTGCCTGGTGGTTACAGTGGCTTTGGCCTGAAGAGTTGCAAAAAATAAAAAACAAACCACACGCAAAAAAAAAAAAAATGAAAAACGGGTTAATCAGCGCAATTAAGGTCAAAAACACGTTGGCGTCAACAACATGCCACCATGTGGCATCTTCAAGCTGAGTCGGCAAGTGTGTGCGTGTGTGTGTGTGTGTGTGTGTGTGCGTGTGTCTGCATTCAAATTCACAGAAATCGCGCATACGCTGCGTAAGCCCTGCCATTAGATATTGCAAGCAAAGTTCTGACTGCCCGCTGTGAGCGCTGTGTGTGTGTGTGTGTGTGCGTGTGTGTGCGTATAATTTTGATAAAGGTACCACAAAAGCCTGAACTGCGCCGACGCCGAAGCACGAATTTGTTTCGTTTAAGCCGCCTGCTGTTGCTGCGACTGCGAAAAGCGACGCTCAGTCATGCTCTCTCTCTCTCTCTCTCTCTTTCTCTCTGTGTGTGTTAGTGCGTGTGTATGCGTACTGCCTTGCGCCTATAAGATAAAAGCGCCGTGCTATGAAAATCTTTAGATTGCCGCCGACCAGCGAACGGCTCGCACTCACGTCTAGCTAACAGAAGCTCCAAGCGGTACGGCAGTTGGTTCAGTTATATACTATATAGAAAGTTAGACATCTAATACAACTAAAATATATAGCTAAATAAAGCCCAGTTATGTGCATAACTCCAAGCTCAAGCCGTGCGCTTCAAGCTAAAAGATAAATAAATCACAGAGCAACAAAACTTGTTTAAGCTTAACGAAATTCGAACGAAAATAAACTAAAAACTGAAAGTAATTAATATTATTATTAAAATACAAACAGATAACGTGTAATTCGAAACGCTCGTAAACCATTTGCAGTAACTATTCATAGAAGTGTTATTCAACTACTCGTCTTTTGCCTCAGCAACGCCGTGCAATTAAAGAAGAACAGATATCGATATATACCTATTATATAGATATCTATTATAAACAAAGTTCACATATACATATGTAGTATATATGCCAGAAGCTGTGCAAATCAATTTCGCGTCTCGTAGGCAAAGTGCTACAAGTTCAATTGATATGTCAATGCCAAGCGCTCGAATCGTAGCTGAAATCAGTGCACTAAATTGCGACGCGTTAACGGTTATGCAATTTGAATCGGTTATACTATTTCAATAGCTAACTTTGATTGTTTCAAGTTCATGTAATTGAACATTTACGACAATTTCAACGGCATAAATGCATAAATATCATTTAACTAACATTCGCTCTGGCATTACTAAGCACTTCCGAATCGGTTATTATTACGATTTATCGAATTCAATTAAGGAAAAGCTTGAGTCTGAAAGTGATTCCGCTGAATACCTAAATCTTTTGGATGTGACTTTCAGCTTAAAGGGTTATATATCGGTTACGATTTTTTCTTGGTATATCGGCTATGTTCATATTCAGTTTATAGCTCTTTTGTGTAAATTCGTATACATATGTAATGGCCTCGAATATTTTTTGAAGTGGTTTAATCGGATAGAAACGGTTAAAAATTTCTTATTCAGTTGAAGGTGTCAAAATATAAAGATCCATAGTTTTTCTACTAACATGTTTACTTAAATGTTATACAAAATGTATACATGTGAGAATAATATATTAAATTTATTAAGGAATGTCACTGCTAGAAATCTATTCAAAGAGTTATGTATTGGTTATTAACTCAAATTTCAATATATAATTTATTTATATTATAAGTTTATGTTACAGTACTTCATAGTAGTCTTGAAAGAATACATATACATATATGTATATAATTCATAGCTTCAGAGTTTGTTTAGTCTACCTAACAACATTTTCGAGTAGATCGTCGAAGTGCAACTCTATAAGTCTATTATAATCTAGCGAAATATTTGGGTTGTCTAAGCTAAGCTTTAAGCAAGGGCAAATATTTCTATGTAGTATAGATCATTATTGCTTAGCTATGCTCAAGATTGCATACAAAATATGGCATATTCTTTAGACCGCTTCTTAAAGTGATTTTCATGGGCAGGTATAATCGCGTCGCATATACCCGACAGCAGTCGACTGTTGAATTTATAATTGATTCGAAGGTAAACGCCACACAGAATTGAAATGCTTTCAATGTTTTGTACATGCAGTGGCCCATCCATGCATCAATCATGCTGTCAATTCTTGACTTTCGAATCAACTTTCGACATGTTCTCAATGCATAAGCTGAGCGCGTCTTCCTCCTCCATACGTAGGTGCAGATAGTCGGGAATATGTTAATATGGGAGTTCAATGGCCGCACCCACAGTCAGCTTTTGCATACGTTTAATAAACACACACCCACACACACCCACACACACACACACCCACACACACGCACAGAAACCACTACACATGGATAGCATCAACTCTGATTGAGAAAAGAAAAAACGAGTTGTAAGTTCTCATCTGGTTTATCCAGTTACGGTTCTTTCACACTCTCGTGTGTGTGTGTGTGTGTGTGTGTTTGTGAGGGAATAAGAGAGAAATAGAGACGCTCTCTAAATGATCTTACACTGCCAGATACAAAAGTCACATCCATTAGGCGTTACCGCCTTTAGAATCAGCTCCGAATCAGATGCAACTGCCTCGCGATTCGCCTTGCCAAACACCTGACGCGAAGCACCTCACATTTTGCACACCTTCAGCATAAAATTGCTACAAAATAATAACAAAAACAGCAAACACGGCTCTAAAGCAAAATGTTCAATAAAAACAAAAATAATTCAAGTTTCATTGGCCCAGACCTTAATACGTGTGCGGCATGGGCAAAGCTGCCGAACACCACTAACAACCCAGACAATTTGCATTAACAAAAAAATTAAATAAATAAAGTAAAATAATATAAAATGAAATACAATTAAATGCACAGTCATATCAGATTTTAAGCGCCCTTCGGCTTCACTTAATTTAATTGCGAATTACAAGAAGCTTTTAGAGAATTACCAGAACTAGAACAAAGGTTGCTCTTTTATTTGAATTAACACTAAATACATATAAATAATTGATTTACTTACGATCCAATTGGCCGAAGTTTGTATACCCTTTCAGATATAGGAATTATGTCTAATACAAGGCAGACATATAGCATAGAAAAGCTTATTTCTAGAATGAGAACATGAAATTTTATGTATTTATGTATTTCAAAAGGTTTTTCATCGAGGTTTTCGCTCTTGGCTTATACCAAACTTGGGAGTGTGAGAATGAGAGGGAAGAAGGCGGAGAATGAAAGAAAAAGATGAGGGAAAAGAAAACGATAAGTATAGAAAAATGGAAAGGAGCGAAAAATAGAGGAAAATATATACAGCAAAGAGGCAAAGAAAGCTTGAGAGAGATGTAAAGGGAAAAAGAGATTGAGAGATGGAGAGAGGCAGCGAAATAATGAAATAAACTCAGGAATGAAAATGAATATATAAAAGATTTGAGAGAGAAAGTCTGAGAAACATAACATATTGATATAGGCATTCAATATACATACTAGTGTTGATGAGGATTATTTGTAAGCAAATGCTTAATAACTTGGAAGAAGTTACCCATAGTATATACTATAGTACAACTAAATACCTGCTATAAAGTTGATCAATTGAACAACCTATTACAAACGCATGCAACACTCAATATGCCCTGCCCCCAAAGGGTATGGTGTTAAGCGTTAGCTGGTGTTGATTGCGTTCCGTTTGGCTTGTTTTATAAATTGATTTGAGCTTCGATACCGCAAGTGATTTAGTTAATTGCTCCATTCCGCTCCACATTAACAGCGCGTTGATTGATGTTTGTTTATAAATGTTTTACCCCCCTCTTGTTGCTGCTGCCGTTGCCGTTGCTCCACAGGTTTAACATGCGGCTGCTTCTACTGCTCGCGGCCAGTTGGGCGGTGCTGGGCTTGGCCCTGGCCGACTCGAGCTACAGCCATTTTCGGCTACCCATGGCGCTGCGGCCCCAGAAGTACAATTTACGTGTCTTGACGCACTTTGAGGACCCGGACAACCTGCGCTTCGAGGGCGATGTGAAAATCCTGTTCAAGGTGCTGGAGAATGCGAACAACATCACGTTGCACGCGAAGAATCTGACGATCGATGAGTCGCTCATTACACTGCGCGACACTTCGAGTGCCAACAAAAAGAATTGCGTCTCCGGCACGGAAGTGAATACGGTCCACGATTTCTATGTGATGCGCACCTGCGAGGAGCTCGTGGCCGGAGATGTCTACGAGCTGTCCATACCATTCGCCGCCGACCTCAATCGCCAGCTGGAGGGCTACTACCGAAGCTCCTACATTGATCCCGTAACGAACAAGTCGCGGTAAGAGGCACGGAAATGTTGCTGTGGAATATAGAGTTATTTTCACGCCGGACAACGGACGTGCGTATAGAGGGATAGTCAGGTGGAGGGTCTTAAGGGTGGACAGACAGAGGGACTAACAGACAGACAGAAGGCTGGACAGACGGAAGAAAAGCAGGAAGATAGGATGGGACTCTACAGAACCAAAATAAACTTGGATGCTCTGCATAAATTTTCGTCGAAAAACCTGACAGAGACGTTGCCACTATGACTCATAGTTATTTAGCTAAATTAATGCTATGCCTAAGCTCTTAAGAAATTTGATAAAAATATTCTCTTACGATATCTACAAATTCTCGCTCAGCTGGCTGTCCATAACACAATTCGAGCCGGCGTCTGCGCGCTTGGCCTTCCCCTGCTTCGATGAGCCGGATTACAAGGCGCCTTTTGTGGTGACGCTTGGCTACCACAAGCGCTACAACGGACTGAGCAACATGCCCGTGAAGGAGATAAAGCCCAAGTAAGACCGGTTGGCCAGTTGACAGACGGTTAGACTATATATAGAATTTTACGGTATAATTTGCAGCGAAGAAATTGCGGATTATATTTGGTGTGAGTTCGAGGAGTCGGTGCCCATGTCCACCTACTTGGTGGCCTATTCGGTCAATGACTTCTCCCACAAGCCCTCCACGCTGCCGAACAGCACGCTCTTCCGCACCTGGGCCCGTCCGAACGCCATCGAGCAGTGCGACTATGCGGCCGAGGTGGGACCCAAGGTGCTGCAGTACTACGAGGATCTGTTTGGCATTAAGTTTCCGCTGCCGAAGATCGATCAGATAGCCATACCAGATTTCAGTGCTGGCGCTATGGAGAACTGGGGTCTGGTCACGTACCGGGAGATCGCCCTGCTCTATTCGGCTCAGCACTCGTCGCTGGCGGACAAGCAGCGCGTTGCCTCGATCATTGCCCATGAGTTGGCCCACCAGTGGTTCGGCAATCTGGTCACGATGAAGTGGTGGACGGATCTGTGGCTGAACGAGGGATTCGCCACATATGTGGCCAGCTTGGGTGTGGACAAGATCAATCCCGAGTGGCGTTCCATGGCACAGGAGTCGCTCAGTAATCTGCTGGTCATCTTCAGGAAGGACGCACTGGAGACTAGCCATCCCATATCGCGACCCATCGAGCTGGTTTCTGAGATCCAGGAGAGCTTCGATCAGATCTCATATCAGAAGGGCTCCACAGTGCTGCGCATGATGCACATGTTCTTGGGCGACGAGTCCTTCCGCTCGGGCATACAAAACTATTTGCAAAAGTTCTCCTACGGCAATGCCGAGCAGGATAATCTCTGGGAATCGCTTACAGAGGCGGCTCACAAATTCAAGGCGCTGCCCAAGAGCTACGACATTAAGCGCATTATGGACTCGTGGACTCTGCAGACGGGGTGAGTGCTCCGAAGTACACCAAAATTTTTGACTGCCCAGACGAATCTCTAATTTGTAAACCCTTCACAGCTATCCTATTATCAATATTACGCGCGACTATTCAGCTGGCACTGCCAAGCTCAACCAGGAGCGTTATCTGCTCAACACTCAGATCTCACGGGCACAGCGAGGCGGCTGCTGGTGGGTGCCGCTCAGCTATACAACCCAGGGGGAGCGGGACTTTGCCAATACGGCGCCCAAGACCTGGATGGAGTGCGGCAGCTCCGGCGAAGTGCTGCCCAAGACGATTACCGGACTGCCCGGCAAGGATCAGTGGGTCATATTCAATACCCAGATGTCGACGCTGTACAAGGTCAACTATGACGAACGCAACTGGAAACTGCTCATCGACACGCTCACCAATGGCGACTTTGAGAGCATCCATGTGATCAATCGCGCCCAGCTGATTGACGATGCATTCTACCTGGCCTGGACGGGCGAGCAGAACTATGACATCGCCATGGAGCTGCTGGAGTATATGAGACGCGAGCGCGAGTATCTGCCCTGGAAGTCGGCCTTTGAGAATTTGAAGCGCCTCAAGTCTATCATCAGACAAACGCCCAATCTGGAGTTCTTCAAGGTCAGTTGAGTTCCGCGTATATTTAAAGACATGGCTGAACGAACATACACTCTTATCCTGCTACTACACATCACACAACGTAATCTAGAGCTCTCATTCTAATTTTTATTTAAATTGCAAACATTATGCGGCCCGACACTAAATTTCCAATGTCAAAGTTGTATTTTTTCGTAAGTTCATTCTAGACCACATCAAAACAAAGCTCTCAATCTCTTAAAGACTTTCTCTCTCTCTCTCTCTCTCTCTCTCTCTGTCTCTTTCTACATGTTACAAATTTAAGTAAACTGTAGCAGTCGGTCAAGACCGTCTGCATCAAACTCGTTCACGTTGAAAGCTATCGAGCTACATAGATTCCAGATAAAAGGTTTTTAGCTTCTCCAGATCACAGAAATTTACTATGTTCCCACTATAAATAATGAGCCTTCATAACTCCAATGGATCATATAAAGTTCTAAGGTTATGCCAAAGTCCATAAGAGACATCTAAAGTCTCTCAGTCCCAATATATTCTCTTCTTACTACGTGAACGAGTAGAGATGTATAAAAAAAACCCCATTCGCATTATATGACATCCACCTTCAACATTTATTCACAGCGTTATCTGCAAAAGCTAATCGAGCCCGTCTATGAGCATCTGAATGGCTTGAATGACACCTTCGCCAACATTGAGCAGCAGGACCAGGTGCTGCTCAAGACCATGGTGGCCACCTGGGCGTGTCTGTATCAGGTGGGCGATTGTGTGCCCAAGGCAGTGACCTACTTTAAGGCGTGGCGTAGCGAGCCGGATCCGGACAAACAAAATCCGGTGCCCATCAATTTGCGGCAAACGGTCTACTGCACCGCCATACGGCATGGCGACGATAACGATTGGAATTTCCTGTGGATGCGCTACAACAACTCGAACGTGGCTGCCGAGAAGCGCACGATAATGTCGTCGTTGGGCTGCACACGTGAGGTGTGGCTGCTGCAGCGCTACTTGGCCCTCACCTTTGAGCCGAAGCAGGGCATACGCAAACAGGACTCGATGTATGCCTTCCAGGCGGTGGCATACAATGAGATTGGCTTCCATTTGGCCAAAGATTACTTCATGAACAACGTGGACTTCATCTACAAATTGTAAGCGATTCTCTCGAATCAACATCTATTCGTTTTACGAACTATTTTCCCGCCACAGCTACAGTCCCATTGTCAAGGACATGGCGCGGCTGCTGCCGCCCTTCTCGGAGCAGACCTTCCAGCAGAGCGATTTCGATGATTTCAGGAATTTCGTCACCGAGCACAGAAGCTCGCTGAAGGGACTGGAACAGGCCATACAGCAAACCCTAGAGACCATGCTCACCAATGTCCAGTGGAAGCAACGCAACTACGACCAGGTCTCGGTCTCCATCAGGAGTTTACTTGACAAACCTATAGAATAAAACAAGAACTAAAAAGAAAAAGAAAACTATAAGAAATAGAGGTGTTATATTCCACGGATAACGTTAAATAAATTATGTCGAGCGCAAGCCCTCATCAGCTAATTGAAAACTCTCTCGAGCATGACACAAATTTAAATGTTCCAATAAACAATATTAAAATAATTATATAATACCAAGAAACATCAGTGGTTAATTATGTTGTGGGTTCTTTAACATTTCAGATTGTTGAGGCTAAACATTAAAGTTAAAGCAATTGTTGAGTTTTTATTCTATTAAGTAAAATGTTTTCTGATTATTAGATATTAACTGCTCAGTAAGCTGCGACTGCACTTGGACTGCGCTGCAGTGTGGGCAATATGATGAGAATTTATTTGTTGAATAATTTCTTTTGTAGACGCACTATCTAAATGAAACTTTCAGAAATTAAGTCTCTAGTAACGGTAAATACGGAAATACGGTTTTTAAATTGGGGGCGTGGCAACCAAAATCTTCGTATACACATATACACGATGAATCTGAAGTCTCTAGGTCAAATAGTATTCAAATAAAGTTGAAAAAACTAAATGAATTTATCGATTATTCTCGATAAAAAGATAGGCCGACGACAGAGAGATAGGGGCATTGACCTTGAGAGGGCAATGACCTTGAGACGGCAATGACCTCTCAAGGTCATTGACCTTCTGAGATAGACACGTTCACACATACGGACGGACAGATAGACAAACGGGGCTAAATCGACTCAGACCGCTTGCGCTACTACTTGGGTCCTTATGCGAGTTTACTAGCTAAATCGCTTGGCGAGATCTCGTCCTATCATGTTACTACTACAGCTACATAAAGACCATAAGCTCTACCCAGAATCCATCCGCTCTCCAAAGATAATTTCTATCAGACTTCTTGACCTAAAGAATTGAGGCAATCAGATTCTCACCGATATCACATACAATGTACATAGAGTATGTTGTATATTTCGTATATTTAAGCATGTTTTATTATGCTACTCAATCATAATAATAATAATCATAATCATAATCCATAATTATCGTAATAATAAAAGTAATTGGAATTAAACAGCGCTCCTTCAACACAATTTTGTGGTAACTTCAATTAATTTTGTTGGGGTTTGGATTTTTGTTTTTTATTCCAATTATTGTTTCATTGGAATTGTTAGATCTTACAAAATACAAGTACAAGCTAAATAAATATGTATGTGTGTTCCGTGTGTGTGTGTGTGTTATGTATTTGTGTTTTTGTAAATGTTAATATCACTAAAGCAGCGCTCCTGAAATGACGTAACTAAACCCTTAACTAAAGAGCTGAACAGATTGCATTCGGTATTTATTATGAAATTTAATTTTTATTATTATTTAATATAATTAGCATAGGTGTATGTGTGAGTGTGTTGGTGTGTGTTAACATACATGAAGTTGTGTGTGTTCCTGTGTTGTTGTTGCTATCCTTATTTTGCTTTAGTTTGTCCTATGAAAAACATGAGTATAAACTTTTATTACATTTATAACAATTCTCTGATTGACTTTCAATTTTATGCACTTTTGTGAACGTGTGTGTGTTTGGTTGTGTGTTGTTGTTCTTCTTCTGCTGCTGCTGCTGCTGTTGGTGTTGTTGTTCTTCTCAATTTGCCTAAAAGAAAGGCTTGCATTAAATTGTAACAACTATTTAACACTTGATATATGCTTGGGCCAATATGTTTATATTTATATATATATATATATATATATATATATATATATATATAGAAATATATCTATTACTATGTCCAGATGCATTGATAATCGTTTTTATTAATATGTACGTATATATGTATTTGTGTTTATGTTTATGTAGAACAAAATATTTAGCTACGGTTTGAATTACAAGTGGTCGAAGCTGCTTTCAGGCTGAAGCCGCCTTAAGGCTATTTCTTCTTTATGGAAGTTATGCACAAAACGGATTTATTAACTATATTCAAAAGATGTATTATTATATTGGTAAAGTACTTATTGAATTGAGCATCTGTTTATGTTAATTTACAAACGGCTTATCAAGATTTGATGCGTGTGTTTTATCATTAGCATTTCACTGAGGCGCGAAACAAGTGTTTGCATAGCGTTCGTAACGTGTTAAATTCGTGTTTACAATTTTCGCTTTGATTTCAGCTTTAATTGTTATGTTAACAAAAGAATTTCCAAGACAAAATTAAATTTTAGTGTTTTCATAGCAAATAAAAATAAAATGTATGCTAAACTCAAAATAGCGTATATGTATATATATATATATAGTATATAGTATATAGAGATGTATTAACGTAAAATGTGTTTCCCGAACTGAACGCAAAAGTACATTCTAAATGCCATGTGTCAAACTAATTGAATTTGTTAGCCAACGGCTATAACTGGACCACAACTAACCTAAACAGTTGCCCAGGCCCGAAACAAGGGTTTTGGCTGGGCGTGGTAATTATAATAGATATATATCATTTTCTTTTCATTCCTTTTTTCTTAATTTTTTGTTTTTTTTTTTTTTTTTTTCTTAGCTGGCTTCAGTCATAAGGGTATTTAGTTTTAAACATTTGTTTCGTATATAAGAGTTATTAAATGTAGTTTCTGTTTTTTTTTGTTACTTGTTTTATGCATGTAGATAAACGATAGAGCTTAAACGTGTACAATTGTTTAACAAACAGACTTCTGCTTCAACTTATGCCCACACTCGTGTGACCTAAACTAAGAGACGTATTTGTATATGTTTCCTATATATTTATATATATAATGTACTTGAATGTAAGTTCCTAAATAGCTGCTCTATTTGTATAGTTGCTTATTTAATGCTGCTGCTGCTGCTGCTAATGCTGCTAATGCTCTTCATTTAGCTGCTTGTCCTACTCTTAGGCACATCTGTTTTACATTTGATGACCTTGCGCAGCGTCGCAAAAACTTTTCAAATCTTGTGCAAGCCACTTTGCAGGTTATCATTTGACCAGGAGCTCTGCGGTAGCTGCTGCGCCGGCACAGCTACTGCTGCTCCGGCTGCTGCGGACGACGCCGACGCTGCTGACGTTGGCTGCGGTGGTGGCGGTGTGGATGATGAGCTCGGCTTCTGTGGCGTCGCCGGCTGTAAATCGAAGCGTGCATAGAACAGTAAATATGGTGTAATTGTAATTTTTCGCGTGGGCGAGAGCAGCTCCTCAAACTCCCGTTGGGTCATCGCCTTGATCTTGTCGTCGTCGCACATATACCAAATGGGTTCGCTGCTGTTGCCCTGCGCATAGTTGGCTTTCACTCCGCCACGCCCCGTGCTGCCATAGCCCGTGGGATACGAAGCACAGCTGTTGGTGCTGCTGCCATAGCTGAGATTGCTGTTGCTGCCATTCTGCAGGGATTCCTCGCTGAAGTCGCTGTTGCTGGCCGTAGTGCTGCCCGCCATGCTCGCCTGCTGGCTGCAGCACAGGCGCATCGCGCAGCAGTTGATGCCTTGGCAGGTGGTGTTCATGCTGAGCTTGCCAATGCCATTGGTGATGGTCTTGCTGGTGAATCCGTTCACTTGCTTCACATTTTTGCTCATGTCGCCGCTGCTCGATGCTTTGTTGCGGCCAAATTTCATTTTCTTCATCAAACTGGTGCCCGACGAGGCCAAAGCCGAGGCAGCCGCTGACACTGGTAAGCTGGCAATGCTGCTAATCCCATTATTGCTCGGCGCCGCGTTCTCATTGCCAGCTGCTGGTGCCGCTGGCTGCTGTTGCTGCGCGCTGTTTGTCGCATTGCGTCGATCCTTGGGGCAATTGACGTAATCACTGGCCAGGTCCAAGAAGCAGGTGTACGCTATATAATGACCCACTGTTAACGTGGCGCCCACATGCGTTATGACGCTGTACAACTTGTAAACGTGCAGCTTGTTGGCATCACTCAGCTCACAGCACTTGGCACAGAAGCAGGGCAGCGTAAATGTTGTGGGCACATATGTGCTGACCTTCTCCATGCCGCCCGAGAACCGATTCAGTTGGATGACCAGTAGACGGGGCAGCACCTCATACGATATGGAGCGTATGGCCTCAGTGTAGCCCGTACACTGATTGCAGCTGTATTTGTTATCGCCGCGAAAGTATTCACGCGTAATGCAAGAGTTCTGCAAAACAAAAACCAAAGTAAATCAACAATACATCAATGAATCCAATCGCTTAACGATTACTCATTTAATGCTTTTGAGTTCCATTCAACTCTTTCTATAGCTAATCTAGTTGCTGTACTAACCTGTATATAGGCGCTGGGTTTCTCCTGCAATTCGGCATTATCATAGCCCGAAATCGGCACAGGTACTGATATATCGAGCATGCCTTGCTTCTGACGCGTAATTGTCTCACAGCTCAGGCATTTGGTGGTCAGCACCACAATACCTTCAAAATCAGAGTTGAAAAAGTTGATATTCAGCTCGCGGATGCGTTCCTCCAGACGCATTTTATCCTTGAGCAGACTAGCCGTATTGATTTCATCATCACTGGAATATTTTGCGGGTGCTGTCGATGCAGCTGATGCTGTGGTATTGGCACCAGTAGCAGCAGCAGCTGAAGCAGCTGGAGCACCGCTGAGATCGACTGTGTTTAAATAAAAGAGACTATTGGAGGCGACATGTGTGGTTCCTATGCCACCGCCAGCTGTGGTTGGACTATTATCCTTGAGCGGTGACTGTAATCGTGTCGCCTTTGAGGATTTCACTTCATCTTTTCTCTTTGATTTTCGTGAAAAGAATGATGTTTTTGTTGTTGTGGTACTTTGATTTTGACTAGTTGCTATCGAGCCATTGCCGGAAGCGCTCATTAGCGCATGATTTCCCACATCGGAGCGCTCCATGGAATCGACCGTATCCGTATCATCAGGATTGGCAATGTAGCTGCATACAAGAAAAGGCAATCGGTCAATTAGTCACATTATGGTCAACCTATAACATTTAGAACTCACCCGTTCGCAATCACTTCCGGACATTCGCCAATGGCCTTTATCAGCGACTGATTCGTTTCGCGTATACAATTCAGCACACACATTAAAAACTCGTGGGCATCCTGTTGCTGATTGCCCTCGAATGTAGCATTGACATCCTGTATGGCATGCAACAGGGTGTCCGCATGATAGGGCTCACTGGAGTCGGCCATCTCATTGCCATGCAGACTGCTGTACAGATCGTGCAACTTCTCACTGACCGACTGATGTGTTGACTTCTTGCTGCCGCTGCTGGCGGCGTTGCTGCCACTGCCATTGCTGGTGCTGTTGTAAGGGTCCGTTGTGGCCAGATCTTTGCTGCTCCAGCTGCGTGCGTGCTCCAAATGAGCACCACCGCTGCCGCTTACGTTGCGGCCCAGCGAGGCGGACTTGGCATTCTGTTGACGCTGTATCGCCTGCTGCACCACATTCAAATCCTGAATCAGATGATGCAAATTGTGCAAGAAATGCGGGGCAAAACGCAGCGTATACACCACCGAATTCAGATAGCAAGTGTTGCCAATGTTGCACAGCGTGCCCATAGTGGGCACATGATTCAATGCTGTACCACCACTGCCATTTAGTCCACTCCCAGGGATTGAGCTGGCGCCGCTCGAATTGCTGCCACCGGCTGGGCCATAATACTGATGGCTCTGTAGCTCGGTGGCGTCGTTGTCTCCGGTGACGGACGAATTGCCAGCGCGCAGACCAGGGCCGCCAGGCGCATAGCCATTGGCCACGCGCCGCTGTTCGTCTGTGGATGTTTGATACCGTCGGTCGTATAGCGACATGTTGGAGCTGCGCTTGCGTTTGCGGAAAGCTCGAGACGCCGGTTTGCTCGAATCAAGCTCGATTTGAGCTGCAGCAATAGCCGCTGCTGTCTCCGCTGAGAAATTAGAATCGATCTCGATCTTAGTGCGACGCTTGCGATTTCTACCGCCGAGACCTGCGCCACCTCCGCGTCGCTTTCTTCCAGTTACTTTCGGCTCTGGCTCCTCTTCAATGCGATTCCAAAACTCAGGTTTGAAATGTTCTGCAAATATTGAATCGAATCTTTAGCAATTGTCTACATTCAAAAGCTCCAACTGCTTACCTAACTTGATGTACTTATGACACTCGGCAGCCTCCGTGGGCGTAGGCGATGACTGTGCTGTCGGTGATGGACTCGACGCTTTCTCCGGTATGGCTGGTAGGTTCACTGCTGTTGGTTGCCGTGATCTTAGACTGGCACAACGCGACAACTCTGCCACATAAACACGTCGCGTACGTTTACGCTTGCGCAAAGCCTCGATATCTTTCTGGGTTGCTTGCTTTGGCTGTGCGACCTGATCTATGTACTCTTGTACCTCTGGATAAATGACCGAACACGTTGGTGCTGACAGCGGCGACTCACCGGATTCAATAGTTGTTGCAGATGCTGTGGAAGCTTTGGGTTTCAGTGAAGTTTCGGACTTCAATAAAATGTACGGGTTCTGACGGGTTTTTGGGATTTTATTGTTGGTGGTGGCGTTGTTGCTGCTGATTGGCGGAAGACGTACTTGTTCCTCTTTCAGCTCATATATTTCATATTCGAGCATCTTTCATTATCCTGTCAAAAAATGACAACATAAATTAGATTTACATTATTATATTTATTACATTCTAATTATGATTAAATGACAGCACACTAAACGATAGGTTTCAGTGTATAAATAAGATAACTTTACGAAAATGGGAAAAAGCAGTGTATAAATGTTGTTAAAAATGTTATCAGTCTTGTAATGAATGCATGTATGTATATACATATGTAATTACGCGTATATTAATAATTATTATTGATACAAATGCACAAAAAGTAAATTTATCAGTGAAAATAAAAATTATATGGAACTTCATTTCTGACATTCACAGGCACATGATTTTGAAATTGATGTAAGACAGTCACACTGTCTGTTTTCTGTTTTGTGCGTACCCTTCCTGTGAGTCTACCAGCTGATACTGGTCCCTTCCCTCTCTTTAACTAAGAGAAATTTATCAAATGAAACGATTTCAGTATTTTTTAAAGCGAAACTTTCTGGCAATGCCATTATGAAGATAAACCGATCGCTGTTATGAACTAAATTTTGTTCGCATGTGCTGATTGAGTGACTCGTCAGCTCAAATTCAAAATTGTTGTCCGATAAGGTGATAAGGAATTGTATAATAATCAATAATTAATCTTAGGTTCAGGTGCTTATGATTCATTTCAGAAAAACTATTGACAAGCAAAGGGGCTTTTATGAATCTGAGAAATTCTCGTTATTAAAACGCACGTAGCCATATAACAGCGAATTTTTGGCGTTTAGCTTATTCGTACCAAATGTCAAAACCCCGAATTATTATTTATGCAATGAAGAACACCCGCCCAGGGTAAGCACACTTCCAATTCGAAAATAATTGCGCCCAGCAAATGGGCTAATTATGTAAAGTACAAATCATGGCCGGCTGCTGATACAAATTTACGGCGACAGGTGGGTAAGCGGGGTTGAAGCGTAGCTTTGGTGAGGTAGGCCAGGGCCAAGCATCGAGGGGGGCGTAGACAGAGGGCAACAAAGAACAAACAAATATTAATGCGAATGATATGTAGAAGGAGTGAACGTGAACGTGAACATGAATGTGAACGTTAACTATATGTATTGCTATTGATTTTGTTGCTGGAATGAAGGTCACATGTCGCACAGGCTGCAAATACAAGTGACGGGAAAAGAGTGCATGATAATGCTAAGGTTACACATTTAGACAGCGCCAATAAGATGGGTTGAGCACACACACACACACACACAGCTACAGCTACAATTACAACACGGATCCGCAACAAATGCAAAGTAAACAGTTATAATAATAGAAGCAAGATTTGCAAATTTTGCTGGATGCTGTGACATTCATTTTGCAATCGTGTATGGGTGTATGGGTGCGCGTAAGTATTTATGTGTTTTACATATATGTATAAATGCGACTCACATATTTGGGGAACAACATTTGCGGGCAGTTGCTATGTTCTGGGTAGCATTGCTTTGAGTAAAATAAACAATTTCAATTGCCGCTGCCAAATGTCATGAAATTTCACTTGCAACGTAACGTAGCGCAACGTAAGAATCATACACACACACTCACACATACGCACGCATGCAACGCTCCCCGCACTCGTTAAACTGACACCACACACACTCTAATTTTCACTTTTTTTCACTGCGGCGGTTATCGTGTGACTGTTCAACTCTTTTTGTACCTGGTTAGGAAATCTTTCTTCACTGCTGCACTTCAGGGCATTGTAGCGGTGCTGCACTTACACATTAACATTTAATTTATTTATAGTTTCAAGTGGTTTGAGGCACTGAAATTAGTTAAACTTATGCGCCGTAAGCGTACGGCCGCTCTCGGTGGCAGATGATGTTCATTCGTTGTGCTCTCCGCTCGTTACTCGTTACAATCAACAGAGTTTGCTCCCTATCGTAAAATGTTCACTCCTCATTTAACAGCGTCTGTAAAAGCTCTGAAATAGACTCCACACATAACATGACATCTAGCAGGCGATGACAATACTGCTTGTGTCTTCTTCTTTCTCTCCGGCAGAAATCACGATGTCGACTGGAGTAAGTAAAAATTTCGTCGGTTTAATTTGTAAATTATTGTGCAATCCTGCATTAATAATTGTCAAATTGTTGCTCAACAAGTGCAAAAAAGATGGACGCACACAATAAATATTAAATTTAATCTGCAATATGTTTATTTGCAGACACTTTACACTTATCCCGAGAACTTCCGCGCATACAAGGCCCTCATCGCGGCCCAGTACTCTGGCGCAAAGGTGAAAGTGGCCGAGGACTTCAAGTTTGGCGAGTCCAACAAATCGGCGGAATTCCTAAAGAAGTTCCCCTTCGGCAAGGTGAGTCTAGATTTTTCAGTTATTTATATACATATATTGGTGTTGCTTATCGCTTGGGGCTTGGGACAAAGAGCTCAAAAGCCGGCAACGTCAGCAGCTAAAATATCGCCTAGCAAATAAGGTTATTCGCATGGAATGTGCGAAATTTTGCCAACTCATAAGTTTTGCTTCTTGGAAGTTCAATAGTTTGCGATTATTGACACGTGAGCTGCTGACAGCTTACATACATTTTTATAATAAACCGGCGCAAAAATATAACGTAAACATTTATTTTCTAGGTGCCCGCATTTGAGACCGCAGATGGTAAATACCTGAGCGAGTCGAATGCCATTGCCTATTTTTTGGCCAATGAGCAGCTTCGCGGTGGCAAGTGCCCCTTTGCACAGGCTGAGGTGCTGCAATGGACCTCGTTTGCTGATAACGAAATCTTGCCGGTCTCCTGCGCATGGGTGTTCCCGCTGCTTGGCATTATGCCTCAGCAGAAGAACGCGAATGTCAAGCAGGACGCCGAGGTTGTGCTGCAGCGTCTGAACAAGAAGCTGTTGGATGTTACCTACCTCGTGGGTGAGCGTATCACTCTGGCTGACATCGTTGTCTTCGCCAGCCTGTTGCATCTGTACCAGTACGTTCTGGAGCCGAGTGTGCGCCGTGATTATGTCAATTTGAACCGTTGGTTCGTTACCATTCTGAACCAGCCACAGGTTCAGGCTGTTGTCAAGGATTTCAAACTGTGCGAGAAGGCACTAGTCTACGATCCCAAGAAGTATGCTGAATTCCAGGCTAAGACCGGTACAAAGCAGCAGCAGCCAGCCAAACAGAAGGAGGAGAAGAAGCCCAAGGAAAAGAAGGAGGCAAAGAAGGAAGAGCCTGAGGAGCTTGATGCTGCCGATGAGGCTTTGGCCGCTGAACCCAAATCGAAGGATCCCTTCGATGCCCTACCCAAGGGTACCTTCAACTTTGATGACTTCAAGCGCGTCTATTCCAACGAGGATGAGTCAAAGTCCATTCCTTACTTCTTCGAGAAGTTTGATCCCGAGAACTATTCCATCTGGTTCGGCTCATACAAATACAATGAGGAGCTCTCCAAGGTGTTCATGTCTTGCAATCTGATCACTGGCATGTTCCAGCGCTTGGACAAGATGCGCAAGCAGGCATTCGCCTCAGTGTGCCTTTTCGGCGAGGACAACAACAGCTCCATCTCTGGTGTGTGGGTGTGGCGCGGACAGGAGCTGGCCTTCCCCCTGTCGCCCGACTGGCAGATCGACTACGAGGTCTATGACTGGAAGAAATTGGATCCCAAGAGCGAGGAGACCAAGAAGCTTGTTACCCAGTACTTCTCATGGTCCGGCACCGACAAGGATGGTCGTAAATTCAACCAGGGCAAGATTTTCAAATAAGTTGCAAACACAATTCATCGAGATTCAACAAGCAGCAGCGCTACGCAGCAAGCACGATGCCTATTTATATTTCTAAGCTCCAACTGATTAGTAATGATATATAAGTGAGTCGCAAACGTCGTGCTGTATTACCATCTAAATATATATACATAATGTCCTGGTTTGCCCAGCACGCCAAATCTTTTGTATTTCAAATCGTTTTAGCCCTCTGCATTTCTGTTAGCAAACGAATTGTTTTTGTAATTGCGTTTAACACAAAAAAGAAAGAAAATTTAATGTCAAACAGATCAGCCAGGTAATAACTTATATACGGGAATTAAAATAAATACGCGTTTTCTACTACATCCAAATGAAGTCTTAATGCAAAGGAATATTGTTTGAAGGAGAGCTGATATATATCAGCTGCCAGCATAGATAGATCTCTCAATTAAAGGTAGTAGAAATCCAATATTAAAATCTTAAAGCATGAATTGAAGCTTTCACCGATAACTATTTTCAACTATTGCAATTTGGATCACTTTCACTACATGAAAATCAACTTATCGAGCTCTACTACGACTTCATTAACTACGCTAACTTAATATCTTTTGTATGAATTACATTCATTTAGGCAATCTTTATTGGCTTTCTTTTCAGTTAATTCGTTCAATTTTAGCTTACGGTAAGGTAGGTTGAAAACAATCTATAGAATTTAAAACAATTTGTTATTGCAAACTTCAGAAATGTTCGTACTGCCTGCATTTGAATATCAGCAAGGAAATGCTAGAAAAACGCTGCTATCGCGTATCCAGATTAAATTACTTTCGCTTGATCACAACTGGTCCGACATTGTCGCCCGTGTTCTTATTGTGCTCGCCGTGGCTACCATCACAGTAGGGCCACTAAAAGGGATAAGGATAATGGCATTAATTAAGCAACGTATAGTAACGTCAGCTATACTCACGTTCTTAGTCTTCCAGCAGCGACAGAAAGCGGCCTTATCCGCAATGTTTTCAATGTCAATCATGTCCACGACCTTCGCCTCATGTTTCCTTATGTTGTCATTGCAACGACCAGAGCAGGATTTACGCTGAGCGGCGGGACAAAGAGCCTGATACGAGATGTAGCCAATGCCGACTACGACGGCAGTGGGCGGAATGAGTGCTAGCCAATCTTTGACTGCAAGAGATAAAATACTATTTTAGAAATACTAAATTGCTAATTAGACTCTAAGTAGGGCAAATTGTGAGCAGCAAATTTTGACCGGATGATGGGCTGATGGATTTCCCTATGGAAAGCAATATTCAATGCATGTCAAATTATGTTCCACACATTAAACTTATCAATAATTGCCTGCTGTTTATCTATGATGCAGATAAAAAGTTTATGAGCTTTTCAGTGAGAATTCTCGTTTTTTTTACAAAAACAACAAATTCAGCAATGGCGCTTTTTGACCCAAATGTTGCATAATAAGTTGGCTCAGGTGAGCAGCGCTGGGATAAGCTTTAAAAATATGCACATAACATGCTTGTGCATGCTAGATAATGGCATTGCACTTTACTAAAATTGATCTTATTTAACTATGTCATTATAGATCGTCTAAGACTTGACAAACTTATCTAGAGCGCCCTTTAGTGCAATTCCAATGTTCAGACAAGCGTGGCACTCACATGATAGTTTAAACCAGCCGCCCACGCTGTCGGGCACCGGCAAGCTGGACAAATAATTTGGCAGACTAGTTTTCACTGCATACGATAATGATTGCATTTTGACTTTATTTTTCTGTGCCTTTACAAATTAAACACAATTGTAGTACACAAAAAATCTGTAAGCTGGTTGTTTTTATTGTTGTTGTGCTGGGCTGAGTGACCCTAGCTAAAAAACACTGAAATATACTGATAAATACCAAATATATACTGACATTAATTAAATTCTTTTAAGTTCAACGAGAACAATTATTATTCTAAAAAATATATATATATAAATATAAATTATATTTAGATTGAATGTGTTATAGGTCTGTAAGTAGTATTGCTCGTATTTTCATAATTCCTGCCCTAATGTAACTTATTTTTATATAGTTACTTAGTAACAGTTACATCAAGATTTCCCATCTCTATTAGCGCTCATCTCTATCTGTACATAGCGCTTGTGAAATATTTGTTTGCGGCTTTTGTACATCAAATAATATTAACAAATGAGCCGCGCTCCTCTTGACACTTGGACCAAACGCGAACAACTATGCCTGGCATCAGCAGTTTCGTGCAGTGGCGACCAGAATTGGATAACAGTTAGCCGCACACTTAAAACAGTTTGTGGCAATGGAAATTCTCGACCCGCGGATTGGTATTCTCAGAAAAACTGTGCCGTCCAGTATGGCCACCTTCTGGAGACGGTTGAGACCACAAAACGCAAGAAACGCACCAACGAAAGCAGCGGCTTCTCTTCTCCGGCTACCGTCGTCGTGGAGACTCCCACAGAGATCCTGCTGCGGCGGCTAACTGAAGAGCGCCTGCTGGAAGTCAAAACTCAGATGCGCCGAGATCAGGAGCTGTATAGAAAGGTGCAACGGGAAATTGAGGCCTTGCAATCTGATGAAATAACTGAGGAGGAGCTGCAGACGATGTGGCAGGAAATAGAAAAGGAACAGGAAACAAAGCGCATCGATGAAATGAAGCTGGAGAACCGAATGCGGGAGCGCGAGCAACGGAAAAAGGATATTGCTGGCAACTGGCGTAACCGAGAAAGTGCAACAGGAAGACGCTCCAATCTAGCTGCCGACACAACTTCTGTGGACATGGATGTGGAGGATATTCCAGGTTTGTTTCCAAAGAATCAGGATTCTTTGAATGTATTGCATATATTAATGTAAATCTACTTCTAGCCGCCAACCCAGCTGGAAACAGTAATAAACAGCAAGCAGCTCCTGCTCCCTTGCTAACATCGCTACTTAAATCGCCCGGTGGCAGCAATAGCAACACCGCCACATCTCCAACAGGCAGCTCCGGGGGCACAGGCGTAGCTCGTGCAACGGCAACGGCGCCAACGATAACTTCGTTGCTGACAAGTGGCGCCAGTGCCATGCCCAGTCAGCCGGCAGTCATATTGAAAAGCTCAAACGATCCAGAATTTATGACACGACCCATTAGCGGACCGCCGCCACCTGAGGTGCCCATCACCGAGCGCAGCCCCTCACAGGCAGCGCCGACGCTGTCCATGCTGCTGGAGAAGAATAAAGTAGCTGCAGCAGCAGCCACTGCTAATAAACCGAATGAATCGCCAACAAAGTCCACAGATGCCGAGGCAAACGTCAGTGACAAACAGGCTGCAGCAGATCTGGAGGCAATTTTCACGGATGATCCCGCGGAGCAGCATCTCATCGAGGATTTTTGCAAGAACATTATTGACGACATTGGCATCGACATGGTCAGCGTTATTGATGAGGAGATATTAAAGAATGTTGACAACGTTGTTTCACCGGCTGAGGCGCCAGTCAAAGCTGAGGCAATTGACTTTGAGGAGAAACTGGAATCGCTAAAGCATGACGAAACAGCCAATCGCAAGTCCAGTCAATCGCCGGCACAGCCGAAAGCACAGGAAGTGGTCATTGGCTCCAGTGATGACTCCAACGATAATATACCATTGGCAGCCGTGGTATCACAGGAGAGCAAGGAGCGCAGTCAGCCATCAGTTGAAGCCCCAGACATGGCCATAGATGATGCGGAAATAATCGCCGAGGAGTTGAACGAGACAATAACAATTGCCAGCAGCTCAAGCGAGGAGAATGCTCGGGAAGTGCCCACGCCTGTGGTGGCTGATACAGCAGAGGCAGTTGAAACAGCAGTTAGCAAATCTCCTGCAGCAACTGAAGCCAACACACCCGAAGCCAGCAAAAAAACAGAAGAAGCTACTGCTTCGGATGAGCCAGAAGTGAAAGCTGAGCAAGTAGAGGCCAGCAGCGAAGGTAAGTGTAATTCAAAAGAGGAAAGACTCCCAGTTAAGATTTGTTGTATCATTTCAATTTAGTGCCCAAAGAGGAACCCAGCAAGGAAAGCAGTTCGGAAACATGCAAACAAACAGCCGAAGCCAGTACAGAGCTGAAGACGCCTGCACCCACTGCTGCCAGTTCAGTGCATGACACGGACGAGGAATCTTCCTCGCTGACGGACAGCAGCAAAGCGGATGAGCCCATCCGCAATACGAAATCAACAAAGCAACATGCGGAAACCAAGCCCGATCCAGAGCCGACTAGTGGCACACGGCAGACGCCACCCAGCGGCTTTGGGTTATCCAGCACACCTGCTCCTGCGCCCCTTTCTGCACGTGCGCCATTGTTGCGCAGGCTGCCGCATCGCGATCGTTCGGAGAGTCCCATGGTGGATGATGATACAACAACGGCCAGCGACCATTCCACAGCCAGATCCAGTACACGGCGTCGCTGCTCCTCAACTCCTGTCATAGACAGCATACCCAATTCACCGGCGTCCAGTGAGCACACTGACGATCGTCGGGAGACGCGTGGCGCCTCCAAGAAGCTCTTCCTCAGCATTTACAGCACGCTGCAAGAGAGCAAGCATGCGGCGCCCTTTCGGCGCGCCTTTAACGACGAGCATCCCCACAAGAAGGCCGAGCTGTGCCTGCGTCCCATGGATCTGCCCACCATCAAACGCAACATCGACTCCGGCCATCTACGCAGCATTAACGAACTGCAGCGGGATGTGCTGCTCATGTGCCAGAATCTGTTGCTGGTCTACAAGCCGCACACAGCGCAGCACAAGACGGCGTTGCTGTTCATGCAAGAATGCAGCTCGCTCAAGGAGTTCGCGTCTATCACTCACATGCAATCCGACAACAGTTCCTCCAGCAGCAGCAGCAGCAAAGTGGAGAAGGAGAAAGAGAAAGAAAAAGAAAAGGAGAAGGAGAAGGAGCGTACACCAGCAGGCAACAAAGCACGCAGTGGTTCGCGCAAGAGCCAAAGGCATCATTAGACTAATTTCATTATTATTAATATTATTTTTCCATAATCATGTCAATAGAACTGAAACTCATACATACTATCAAACCTGTATAATCCATGGCAGCAAAGTAAAGCCACACTCTATTTTACATAGAAGATATATAATTCCGCAACTATTAAATATTTATCAAGCCTTTCGTACATAATAATAGCCAACTTTTATTAACTAGCTTGTACACTACAAACATACAATAGCCGCTGGTCTTATAATAGTTAATATGATATAATTGTTAACTTATACAAATCAATACATAAAATATTATATGAAGAAAAAAGAACAAAACAAGTTTACAGATACTGATGAAGTATTATCACACGATAGCCGCTGCTCTTATAATACTTTTAATAATAATGATACACATACATAAAGAAAACTATAGATATGCATATTCTTATTAGCTTGGATAATATAAATACAAATACAATAATACTATAAAAAGTAAATAAATTTTATTTCAATTGATATCGTAAGTCAATGATTATTACTATCAATTAAAATAAATTTGGTTTGCTTTATATAATATTTTTGTATTGTTTTAAAAAGTTGTTAAAGTATAATCACACGATAGCCACTGCTCTTATAATACACTTAAACTTACAATTATGATATAAGACATATAGATATAATATATCAATACAATAATAAAAAACAATTTATCTTAAGAGATAAAAATATTCAGAGAAATAATTGCTAAAGAACTTTTTAATCATAATCACACGATAGCTGCTGCTCTTATAATAGACATAAGATTATAATAATTTTAAAATCTTAAATAGTGTTTCTACATTTAAAGTTATGTTTAGTTTATAAGATATACTATTTATAAACATAATAGTGATTGTTAGGAAAACTAGATGATGAATAGATGTGAATCGAATCGACTAACAATGCAGTTTCAAGGTTGAATACCACTAAAGCAGATATTTATCAAATAGCAATCGTAATGCTATAACAATTGGAACGACTGTAGTAGCTTAAGAAGTGTAACTTTATAAAAACTTTTCGAAAATTCAGTTTTAAAGCAGCAATAGAAAAAATATTATATAAATCAATGGAAAAACTGCATGCTCAAAGTGAACACTATTCCAACTTTATTTTGAATAAAGACTAAATAAACAGATATATGCATATTTATTAAGTTAGTTATAGAGACAACTTTATTGATCAACAGTTCACAGCTTTAAATGCATGGATCTTTAACATAGGATCTGTTCATTTGGATGGAATTTTTGCTTACAATAGTTTGTCTTAAAAATAGTTAAGTAGCTTAAAAAATATATGATTACATATATAGATTTTTATCAATATATATGTATATAACATATTAATATTGTCTCTAGTAATAACCGAGAATTTCATTCTTATTATACACTCTACATTATATCAATGAATATATATCATATCATATGTCAATTAAAGAATATCAAATTCTGTAGTCGTCGGGAGCGCGATGAGTGGCAAACGGCTCGTCGATTCGGGCAATAGAATTTGCGCAGGCAGCGCGAGAGTCGCAGATCGCATTGACACAAGCGAGCCGCACAGGAGTCGGGGCCGCCCCACTCGCCGTGATCGATGGCGCACAGGGGCTTGCCCCGGTAGCATTTCCACACATAGGGCACAAAGTACTCGAGGTAGGAGATGCAGTTGCTCTGGCCGTAGCACTTGTCGTGCAGGCGGCAACAGCGATCGATGCCATCGTTGGGCACTCCATGGCCGCCAAAGCCGCAGTAGCAGCCGTAGCCCTTGTAGATCAACGGATCACAGTTCGTGGAGCACTTGATCATGGAGTAGAGCTTGGCCACATCCCGTTTGCCTCGATCGTTTGGCGGTTCGGTCTCATTACTCAATGACCACTTCATGGAGTAGCCAAAGGGATCGTTGGCGCGCGCTATATACACATTCTCTCCATTCAGCAGATCCTCGAGCTGCGCCTCCGCCGGATTAGATGTTATCACACGTATATCCGTCACATGACCATCCAGCTTTTGGGTCTTCAGATTCAGCAAAATTTCAGACTGTGGGTAGCTCAGCTGTTGCTGTGCTGGCTCCCTGTGTGGGAAAATCTTCGATGGTTAAATGATTCCTTCTACATATACCAACCGATACCCACTTGTGTATCTGCTCCAACCACGTCTGCTGCTCCTGCAATTCACCCGTCCAGCCGGGCAAGCCCAGCTGCTGCCATTCCTCCAGATTGGACTTGATTGCGGCTACTGAAGGCATCGCTGTGATATTGGGAAAGATTGGTTCCGCAAAGTCCGAGCGCTGCATTGTCAACAGCTCAAAGCCATTGCGCTGCCCGTTGGGCATTTTGAAAGTGAAGGTTGGATTCGCTTGATGCATGCTCGGTCCATACATTTCCGGTATTATGTGCTCCAGCAAGACGCTGTCATTGGTGACGCCCCTGAACGCACTCCATATGTCATCCACAACCCTGTTCGCCTGGCAGTGCACGGCCAGGAGCAGCACCAAACGCATCTGTACGATTCCACACATCTTGTTATGCTCAATCAGACGCAGACGCGGGACTTGTGCGATCCGTCCGAGTCGAGCGGCAATCAGAAATTGAAACTGGTGCGCCAGCGAAATGCGGTAGTTGGCCATTGGCCGCTAAGTACCCAACAAAAGAAACCAAAACAAAACTGCGGTGGTCGAGAAAGCCAGAGCCAGAGATACCCTGTAAGCAATAGTAGTAGATATCATCTACAACATATCAATGATAGGCTCTTACCATTTCAAAGGGCATCCTGGGAAATCAAACATATTCAGTATCCATTGATCCATTGCTAAGCATCGATATACCCCTTAACCGTTTGCAGTGGGTATCATAAAAATGAAGCATAAATTGTTCAAAATCGTGTTAATAGCAATAATAACAATGGCCAGCAGCGACCGCGATGACGGCGCCGACGGATTTGGTGTGCGAGAGGTAAACGCATAAAACCAAATACACAAACTGACAGTGGCACAAATACGATGCCGAATCCAGCGCCGTTAGGTGGGTCAGTAACCGTAACCCACATTGCGTAGACGCGCGAAAAGTTACAGCAAACTCAGTGGGCGTGGCAAGTTAAGGCGAAGGTGAGCAGCAGCAGCCCGCGTCGAGTTACAGCCAAGATCAGTTCATGGTCAGCGTTAAGGGCTTTTAATTACCGCGAGCTGAACTAGTTAGATGGCTCGCAAGGGGGTGGGTGGATGATCACTTGGCCAAACCAAATTGGCATTAATGTGCGCAGTTTGTTTATGGTCTGGTTGTAAATACATAGCCAGAGCCATGCACTCATACAAATACTCTTATAAATCTGTTGTTTATGTTTTATCTGTCTGCAATTACACAGGTAATTTATGGCGGCCGCCTGCAACGCCTTCGTTACGTTGGTTGCATGTTACGTGTGAGAGCAAAAGCAAAGCATTCACATAAAAGACATCATACTTTCAAGTCGTAGTCGAAGTCGAGCGCAAATCAAGGTAAACATGAATGAAAATGGTCATAGGCAGACGCAGACGCATATATGCCTATCGTAAATACATGTGTTTTTAAAATTATACATTAAATTAATTAAACGCAAGCCATAAATAATAACTAATCAGCGTTTCAATTGATAAATTAATTAAACGGAGTTTTAATTTCTAATTACATTGGCGCGCAAAACTTGTTTCAGGTTTTTTAATCGGTAAGCAAATCGAGTATGCTGTTATCGGTCGAATCGGTTCATCAGTGTTGAAAAGCATCACACGCCGTTACTTCACAGCACTTCTTTGACTTATCGATAACTATCGCCTTATTTGAATTTCTTCAACGGCTAATGCAAAAACTAATTTGTTTACATATTTATCTATAAATCTGCAATCTACAGCAGCTGCATTTTTTGACTATTAAAGCAGTCTCTGGGCTGTTCAAATATGTACATGTTTATGCCCAACATACTTCCTCTCGCTTAGCACGCACCACTTAAGTTTACGTATTAAGACAGACAAAACGCTTCAATAAATTGCATACATATTTTATTTTGATTCAATAAATCTGATTACTATTCTGGCTCGTCCGGCCGAATGCTCTGTAAACATAGCACAAGTGATTGCTGTAGCATCATCCTCGCGGGCAAACGGAAATGCCACGCATTGGAACAAGCATTTTTCCAGCTGCCGCTGTCGCTGCCACGGCCACTGCAGTAGTCTGCAATTCTGCTGGAACAGTATATCCAGTAAAGACGTCGCTGACCAGAGTTCAAGCTGCGTTGTTCTGCTTTGCTTTAATCGCTGCATTGTCATCTTCTTTGCTGCTGGCAGCGATCGACCGACCGACCGCTTACTTCTGCTCGCCTCGCCTCTTTTCTACTTGCAATTGCAAACATAGAGCTTGTTGTTCTCCTTCTGGTTATGGCAGTCGTAGTTGCTGCTGCTGCTGCTGCTGTTGTTCTTGTTGCTGTTATTGTTTGTGGGAACGAGCACACAGCACAGCACAAAGCTATTTTCAAATTGGAAAGGTTTTGCACTTCGCCAACGCAGTCAGCTCTCGGTAACTCTTTTTGTTCGCTTTGTTTGTGGCTTCGCTGCCGTCGTCGTCGCCATCGCCGTTGCTTCTGCTGCTGTTACAGCCAACTTCTTTCTCGTTAGTTTGTTATTTTAACTATTATATCAATTAGTTTCAACGTTTGACGGCTCCGCCAGCCTCAGCTCATTGTGGCCGCGGCTGCTGCTAGATTGCGGATGGAAGGAGGAAATGGAAATGGGAAAACCAGACGAAGGTAGAGCAGCGGAAAATACGAAGTTCGAGGTTGAATTTTGCGCCGTTGCAATTCACTGCGCTTGGCTTTCACGCTGGGGTTGAAACTCTCAAAGTGTGCGTGTCTATGTGTGTGTGTGTGTCCGTGTACCTACAAATAGCAGCACTCTCATTTTGAAAATATGTAAATAACACAACAATCGTTGCTTTTTTTATTGGCCTTCCAGTGCGTTGGCATTTCAGTAGCGTGAAGAAGGAAATAGCGATCAGGGTTGAAAGGTGTTCCGGGCGTCGTTTGAGAGCGGCAACTGAAATTATACTTTGAGAAATTTAAATGCGGCAGGTGTTACAGTTAGACGCACTGTTAGCTGCGTCGCTTGGCAGCACTGGCTAAAAGAATAAAAATAAAACAAAGAACAATTATTTTGGTTTCAATGCCCTTGCAGAGCAGACAGAAAAGAAGGAAAAACTAATTGCTATTATGAAATACAAGTGCGATTTTATATGCGTATAAGTATTGATATAGACCAGTTTATATTCAGAGGGCTCCAATACTAAGATCAAGTTTATGATCTCAAAAGTTATTTGTTTTACTTCACATTAAATGTCAGACAGTAGGACCCACATGCAAAAGGTATACATATGCATATACATATACAGAAACCGTTAGTGTTTTCTCTCTGTTTGGTTTTGTCGTTTGGCGCATGCGATTGCGACAGACCGCGCACCCGCAGGCGCAACTGCGGCAACCCCCTCGCTCGATACGTTCACACGCTGACAATTACAACAACAACAAAAGCAGCAGCTTCAACTAGACTCGCATATATTAGCGCAGCTAGAGGCATTTGTCAACGGGCGGTGGCAGTTACAATTCGGATTCGAGTTCGAATTTGAAATCGATATCCAATCGCGTGTCGCTTGGCCATAAACCAGATAAAAGTCTCACAAATCAGGCTACTCCAGCAGCAGCAGCAGCAGCAGCAGCGGGATGCGGGCGTAAGGGGGCGTGTGAGCCAGCATGCATTGGCTTCTACAGTCGCCGTTGCTGCTGTTGCAACGGTCAAATGGCTGCAACTGACAGTGCCAAAAGGTCAATAACTCCCTTCCATCCTCCTCTCTCTCTTTTTTAGCTGCGGGTGAGTGTGCGCGCTTCTGCTTGCCATATTATGTGGGTCACGGGTCAATCATGTAATATAATCATTTAGAAGTATGCCTACATACATACATACATACGCTTACGTACATACAAATATTGTGCTGTGCGACTGATTGATGCCCCAGACACAGCCCAAACGGAAGCTAATTGCTATTTTTCCCCGTTCTTGTTTTTTTTTTCCCCCGTCGATAAGTTATCGGTAAGAAAACATGTCTTTTCATTTACTATTGAACATATAAAAAAGTTTTGTATAAATATCAAATCACAAAATTTAACATATGAATAATTTGAGTTTTAGGCAAACACTTTCTTAAATTAATTCAATATTAAATGTTCAACAATGTCTTTCCTTTCATTCAACATTATTAATATAATTAGTAGCTTGTTTATTCTTATCGATTCATGGTATTCCCATAAAATGTTTCTTAAGACCAAATCATGTATTTAATGTCGTTGCACATTGCAAAAGTAAATGCGTTTTGGCTAATTGACGTGTCCCGATGGCAGCTGCTCCTGGCTCTTCTCTTTGTAATGGCCTCTTGGCCATGTTTTCGCTGTGTGTATTGACCCAACTTAATAGACGAGCATGAAATCTAGTCACGAACTTAATCATGAACAACCGTGCACTAGATCCATGTTCGCCGACAAAATAGAGTCAGAGAAGAGCAAAAAAAGAAATATCAGGCAGCAGCTGCAGCAGAGACCTCCCTCTCTCTCTCTCTCTCCTTCTCACTTGGTCGCTCTCTTCATGCATTTGATCCATCCCATGCCATCCTGCAAGCAATGATTATTGCTAGTGCACGACTTTCTGTGGCATTTGACTGGCGAGCCTCCTCCCGCTCCTCCTTAACATTCACCTTCTCCTGGGCCTCTGGTGATCGGTGATTTTCCTAGTCTTATGGGCTTGGCTCGGTTTTTCGGTCACTTTTCGGATATCACTTCGTTCAGTTTGCTCGTGCCTGGCAACACAATTTCAATTGGGGCTCGTTTTGATCGGTTTTCATAGCTCAATTGGCTGTCAGCCCTCTCCAATTCCCCCAATTCTCCTTCCCCATGCCCACTTCTTCTGTCGGGCGCTTGCTTTTTGATCCCAAGCGTATTGTATTTACATTTGCATTTGTATCTGTGTGTGTCTGCGATATGAATGAATCAAGCTCGAAGCTTCGAATTAAGGTTTATTATTTTGATACCCTATTTCACAAAGTAATTTGGAGTACATTGGCTATTGCCTAGGGATAGACATTGAGCTTGGAAATGTATACTGAGATATATTCTTCAGATAAAGGAGAATTCGAAGCCATGAAGATCTGATCTCTTATCTACATCTACATTCTTTAAATTTCAAACAGAAGATTAAATTAAATTTTATTTTATTTGTTTTTAGTAAAGTATTTAGCAGTCGTGTCTTATCACCGATCTCTTTCTGAATTCGTCTCATTGCCATTTCTGCTGATTTATACAATAATTTTTGCACCCGCCTCATGTCGCATGCCCTACTCCGCTCTGAAAGCCATCGTCCGATTGTTTAAGATTCGTGGCGTCGTTGCAGTTTGAATTTCTGCCCGATCTGCACAAAAGTTTTCAGGCCACACAATTCTACGGAAATTGCTGTTTACTCAGACACTATTTGTTTATTTGTCAACTAAAATATATGGAATACGAAAGAAACAAAGGGAGAGCCAGAGCGAGTTCTAGTTTAGAAACTATGCGACACATTAGGGAAACAACAAACTTCCAAGAAATTTTAGCAATTTGTTCCGGTAGCAAAATTAAAGTAATAGAGAGAGAGAGAACGAAAGAAAGAAAGAAAGAGAGACGAGAGAGCTAAATTGGAGGGCGCTGTCCGTCAGAAATCTGAGCCCTAGCATCGACTGGCACTACTAAAGTATGTTGAACTCTTTGCCACTTGAGAAGAAAATCTCATTTATTTTATGAATACAAGAAAAAGCAAATATGATATTTATATTTTAAGATTTGACACTATTACAACATTTAAAATAATGTAATCTATTCAAATATCTATGAGATTTTGTACTTAGTACTTGGTTTAATGGAAATTTCTTTGGAACACTTTTGAGCACTCAAGTTTCACAGAACCACTTGAAATATTCTTAATTTCGTTTACGAACCGACACTTAATTTTAGAGCATTTTCCATTTGCCCTGAGAAATATAAAAGTGCCTTTGTTGCATTTTTTATATGAGCTGATTTTTCACGAAATCATACACTTTAGCGTTAATTTAGTGCGTGTAATTAAGTCCCAGAAAAACCCTTGGGAAAGAAATCAACATTGTTTTCACCCTTCTTTCACTCTCTTTCTTTGCCTCTCTCTCCCTCTCTGTCGCCCTCTTTAACATTTATTCCTACAGCTGCTAGAACACAATTCATTTCGTTCTGTTCGGTTGACTTTCTTTATTCGTGTGCGTGAGCGTAGAGTTGACTAATTACCTTGTTCGGAAACCCACAAAAAAAAGAAGGAAAATAAATAAAAATAAAAACGTCACGATCGGGTGCAAACGACTTCGTCATACACTATTCAACAAATGGCATCGACTCTATCTATAAGACTGCAACGTGAGGAAAAACACTTTAAGAAAACGGAAGTGGGTGTGCCCTTTAGAGCTAAATATTGCTTTGGACTTGGCATTTATCAGGGGTTTGTTTAGTATAACTACTAAGTTTCTCGCTTCCGTTCTATAATATTTCACGCAGATTGAACTACCGTTTTTAATGAGTGTGGATCTAGTCACAAATACTTAAGCAAACAATGTGAAACACTGGACCCTCACTCACTAAAAACAGTAGTACGTATTTCCGATCCGAACTGTTCCATTCAGATAGTCTTACCATTTTCGGGGCGTCCACTTACTCAGCTCTCTGGCATGTTTTATTTTGATTTTTTTATTTTTTCTTTCATTATTAATTTAAATTATTAAGCGATAGTGCTGAATAAAGTGGAACAACAATAACAAACCACGCTGCTGCCAGTTTTTGTATTGATAAGAGCGACAACCGAATCACTTCTCAGTTCTCTGCTCTGCTGCTTGCCCTAGGCGTTACGGCTCTTATCAGCAAATGAGCTACGCACACGTATGCATATGCATTTGCTTTTAATGTGTATGTGTAAATAAATTTTGTTCGCGCCTAAACAAAAAGATCGTTGACTTTTGAAATTAAAAAAAAAAATAGTTTGTCATAGTGTGGCAACGCCACGAAAGAACCGCTTATTTGCAAGCAGAAAAAATATTGAGAGCGCACATTTATATACGTGCTACGTATGTATACATACCTACACATTCATACACACAAACACAGAGATCAACACATGCAAAAAGCAAAGCTTACACACGCGCACAGCAAAGCAACAGCAAACACTGCTGTCCGTATGCATGTATTTGTGAGTAACGATGGCTGCGCTGATGGCTCAAGTTGATAGCAGCAGTTGTTTTTCGTTCTTCCTCTTCTTGTTGTTGTTGTTGTTGTGGCTGCTACTGCTGCTGTCGCCGCTGACGTCGCTGCTTTTATTTCTCGAGTATGCCTTGTCTTCGCCGTCGATGTTGTTCTTGTTGTTTTGTGGTCTCTTATGGCTGCCACGATTTGAAGAAGTATGGCGAATTACATACACGCATACACAAACACATACAAACAAGCACGCACGAGGGCAAAAATTCAACTGACTATTCAGCCATGATATTTGCCAGCAGCACAATTCGCCGCTGTCGGTGCTCCCTTGTTGTCAATTTCATTTCGCAGATTCAGTTTTATTAAATTGTTATTGAAATTAAATCATTTATAATTAGACGGCTAGCCGACTGATCCAACTGTAAACGCTTCGTGCATCCGCTCATTATTTCGGTAAAAATGATGATGCCTATGTGTGCATGTGTGAGAGTGTCGAGTCGGATGTCTCTGTGTGTGTGTCACTCGCCGTGTAATCAACGGCAATTTGAAAAAAACTGCAAAAACAGGCAACGCTCCACACACATGTACATTTACGTATGCTCATACATTTCATTTTGTATGTACCTCCAAGCACGACTTTTGCATTGGTTGTATTTTATATATTATATTCAGTTTAATTTAATATCGTACATGAAATGTTTGATGCTCAGATTGTTAGATTTTGTATTGGATTGACAGACGAACATGGCGGCCAGCTGCGAACGGCAATTAATGCAACAGGCTTCCACATTTTTTGCGGTTAGTTCGAAATTTCGGCAGTGTACAGTTATTATTTTCCTATAGGTAGCGTCGAATCATAAATTGAGCACTCACATTAACACGCACGGCGAACGGGAAATAAACGCGATTTAAATTAAGGTATAATATAGGAATATAATACTGCCTTATTTTCTTTATGAGTTACTTGAACTGGTGTGTAAGTTTATAAAGCAAAATTGCAATCGTACGGCGACTGCGCAACTTAAACGTAGAATAATGCACCAGAACTGGCAACCACTCGCAAACGAAGCTCTTATAAGACTAACTCGAAGTTAAGCCACAGACGTACACTATAGCGCAGAGCAGTGGCTCGCAGCAGAGCCAAGACGTATACACGTACGCTGAGTGTGGAGAGAATAAAGAGCGCGATAGAGCAAGAGCGTCGCTTTTCAAATGAACGATCGTAGCTCACCAATACACATAAACGAGAGGCGTGCTGCCAACGCATGCGGCATAAAATCCTATCTGATGAAGATAGGATTTTGGGAATATTTTTGATAATGTAAATGAAAAATTATCTGCCATATGTATAAATTCATAGATATTTGGTACACTTATCAGAATACTAATAACTATTATTTTCTTTGTTTAATGCAATTTGATAGAGTTGGCAGCACCAACGTGGTGGTAATTGAACTCTTAATACACACACACACATTTATAGTCAATGAGCGGCAGCCCACACACATACTCAAACACATAAATACATACATAGTAGAATTTGAGTGAGTTGCGCTTGCGTTTGCGCTTGTATGTCTGTGTGTGTGTGTGTGTGCAATCGTGTGCAAATGATACAAAGAAGAATTATATCAAAAGCAAAAGAAAATAATGATGACGCAGTGAAAAAATTATATTAAAATAATTACAACAGCGCGTTCAACTTGGACTTGGTGAAGACGTTGACGTCGACTTCGACAACGAAGCGTCGCTGCCGTTTGCTTGTCGACGCGCGCACCTTTTAACTGCTCCTGTTGTTGTTCTTGCTGCCGCGGCTATTGCTGCTGTTGCTTTCCAGCTATCGTTAGCGGGGTTGGTTTGTTAAAGAATTGTAGTGAAATGCTTGGGAAAGGTTTTACAGTACGTACAAACAGAGCAGTCACAGCCACATGCATGTGTTTGTATTGGGATAAATACATACATACATCTACATATGTATGTATGTGCTGTACATTGTGAATTAGTATGTGTTTGCATTTATCTCTACGCGATTTTATTTCTTGTTCTTTTGACAATTCTTTACCAAAAGGTAGGGCGAGTCTGAGCAAGGGTTCGTGACGTCAACGCACTCGCGCAGCTGTTGCTTGACTGTCAGTCAGTCATGCAGTCAGTAGTTGTATTCTTTTTGCGTCTCCTTCGAATCCGCATCCATTATACAAAACAGCTACAGGGCCCTAGCGGTCGATAATTTTCCATCAAGGTGACACAGTTTGGAAACGCAAATTCTGCGTCTCCGCTCAATGAAACATTGCATTGTCAATGAAACATTGCAGAAATCGGCAACTGTGCCTTAAAATATTTAATTCATTTTCCGCTTCCTGTAATTGATATGCACTGTTGTTTACACCTCCCACCTAATTGTCCATTCGCGTGGGTGCCGCTGCTAGTTCAAGAGATTTGTGTTAAGCTCCAGCAGAGTTCTGATCAGCACGTATGCAGAGAATGCTGAATGCTGAGCTAATTGGAAAACGGTAAATCAATTGTCTTTCCAGGTGAGAATACATGTACGCTTAATGAAGTTGCGAAACGGAGGATATTTTCTTTAAAATAAATATGTAAATAAATAAAATTTAGATTTATTTCATATATGTTTATATTATGCATCTAATTAGAGTTTGGCCAGGGAATTAATTTGAATTTTGTAATCGATAAATGTGCAAGGAAAGGGACACAAGATATCGCTTTTTGACCGCCTTAAAAGGTAGCAATCTATGGTCCAATCAAAAGCTCAGTTCTTCCCACAGTTTGGCCTCATCCGTTAACCCAATGTAATATATAAAACGAGCGCTAAGCTAAGCTGAGCTGAGCTGCTTCGTTTAGTTCAAGCCCAGCCCCAGTCGTAGCCCCGGGATCAGCCCAGCCCAGCCCAGTTCAGATAAAAAATCACACACGCTGCACTGGCTACTTGTCATTGCGAAAAATTCGAGGTGTGTGCAGAGCGAGTGGGTTGTATATACAGGTATATACATACATATGTATATGTATATGTATGTGTAACCAGGCACAACCAACGAACCGAGGAACCATCGAAAAATCGTCGCCTGACCCATGCCAATGCAATCTCAGCTGTTGGAAATACAATTGCCATTGCATTTTGTATCTTGTAAATGTCATTGGCCATTGCCCAACTGCCAACGCGTCCGACTGACTGCCCGTCGAAATGCACGTATCCGCGGCTCACTCACATTAAATTACATTACGTACACTCCTTTTGTTTGCAATATACATATATATATATATTTAAATTGCGCTGCCACAGCTATAGCAAAGATGCGAGCCATCTAATGGCTCAAAACAAATGGCAAAGTTCAAACGAGGTTAACAGCATTTCAAGCTACAGCGGCCAGCGGACAGCGGACAGCCAACAGCGGGCAGTAGGCAGGAGCACTCCTGCCCCGAGTCTGTCCCAGTCCGAATCTGAGTCCAGGTCCGGGGCCACCAAAATGGATGCAACTGCAGCCAAAGCTAAGGCAAACAAAGCTAGTAAAACTAAACAAAATCAACGAATGAGTGAAGCCGAACAAAAAATATATGATCTTGATAGGAGAGTATTAGACTAAACGATACCCTGTAGTTGAGTTCTATAAAGAAAATTTCCTAGAGAGGAAATCCTGAACCCTATATGCAGCTCTGAGGATCAATGAGAACATATATGTGTACAGGTTAGCAGATCAGCAATGACTGTATGTATATAATTCTTTTTAAGAGAATATATATATCGGACATCCTGCCTCTGGCTCACTTAGATATAGTTTTTCTCTGCCTTCCAAGCAATATCCCCTACTTCCCAGCCAGTTGCTATGATAACAGGGTATATAAAAAAGGCCCAAAAGCATCTTAAACGACAGGCAGTGGTAACATGACCATAGTAAGATAGTTACAGCTTCAGCTCCAGCTCCAGCCTCAACTTCAGCTTCAGCTTCAATAAAACGACATGCGCACAAATCTGTGGACGTCTGCCGAAGTGGAGGCACATATAAAAACCTTTCTAACGATCGTTTACCTCTCGCAAAATGTAACAAAGGAGTCGGGCGAAAAGTTGCCTGGGCCAGCTTGGCTATGGCTATGGCTCGGCTGTGCCTTTTCTTGGCCTGGCTAGTTGATGCGGGCCAAGCCTAGGCCGAGCGCCCACTTCCTACTTGCTGCTCTCTTCGTGCTGCCAAGCGCTGCAGGCTCTGCTGCTGATGCTGCCCACAAAACTTAGAAGCCATACACACGTACTAACTTGGCCAACGCGGGCCAAGCTAAGAATTTGATTTTATGCTGCTGCTGCTGCTGCTGCTGCACAGCCATAGTTGGAGCATGGCAGCTGCCGCTTAAGTTGGCCATAATGTGTTGGCCATTTGCCCCTTTGCATACGCCACTGAGCCAAAATGCCAGCCGCCAGCCGCCAGCCGCCCGCCGCCTGACACTTGGACAGACCACGAACCGCTCACCTACCCGAAAAAAAAAACAGAAAAAAAAACATAATACAAAAAAATAAAACGGCAACCAAAAACCGAAGTTCAGGCAAACGGGGGAAAATATATAAAAGGAAAGAGTAATAACCAGTTTTGTCTCCCAAAAAAGCCAAACAAATGAAGTCAAGCTGAGCTAAAACACAAGAAAACTAAAAGAACTACAGAAGTTGCCACGAATGCGGAATGCCCTGCCCGATAATAGATGAATGGATGAATAATAATTGGTATAATAATATTTGTATGAGGTATGATAATACCAGTCAAGGAAAGTTAATTCGAATTCTATTAAAGAGTAGATATCTATAGGAAGTTCAAAATTATATAGGGAACTATTATAGCTTGAGATGTGGAACAAAAAGAATTGCTGGATTTTTAAATTGTTTAATAAATATAAAACTTAGTTGTCCCACTTATATATTAAGCTAGTATTTACCCTATAAAGGGATCCTACTAAGGTCCACATTTGTGTAAACATGGATAAAAATAAAAATATTCATTCAAAATGTGATCAAGCTGCCCTCATATTAACCAAGTTAGGATAGTTAGGTATGATTCATCTATAAAAACAAGCGAATCTTCAAAGCTGCGCACATATCTCATTACAAAAGTAAAGTACGCTATGGGCAGGGTATCTAAAGAACGTACCTCATGTTTACGAGTAGAAGCTAAAGCAAACTTCAGGCCAAAAGCAGCGATCGAGCGTACCTCGGCCACAGATGGGGCCCACACTCCGCTGGAGAGTGTACAGAGAGACAAAGAGCAAGAGAGTGAGAGAGAGAGAGAGAGAGGGAGATGGAGAGCTGAGCCATGTGCCGGGTCGGGTCGGACGCTCTTCAGCCACAGCTTTAACTTCAACGGCCATCATCAGATAGAGCGAAGAGCCAAGAGCCAAGAGCCTAGTACAGTTGAATTGAAGTTGTGGCAAACGGGTATTGAGGGAGTTGGCAGTAGGTCTTGCCATGGCTTGGTCTTCGTCGTCCTCTTCCACTTCATCTTCGTCTTTGGTGTTGCTTTCGACTGTTGGCTGTGTCTCTGCAGCGTTGTAGGAGTTTTGGCTACACAGAAGTTTAGTTACATGCTCATTACATAGATGCAGAGCGAGCGAGTGAGAAGGAGACAGAGAGAGAGAGAAAGAGGGAGACAGATAGAGAGATGGAGAGCGAGTACAACGAGTACAATGTATGTGGCCAGCTATAGATACATACAATTTATGTATTGCAGATACATAGATAGAAGCGTAGCTCTGGTACTTGCCCCGAACTGGCTTTGGCGCGGATGCTGCTGCTGCTGCTGCTGTTGCCGCTGCTGTTGTTGCCTTTCTAAACTTCTAACTTTTCCGATGCTTATCGCAGCTAACAAAAAATAGAAGCATACGAAAATAAATAGAAGAAGCAGAATCAAAAAAAAAAAAAAAAAAAGAACGTAAGCTGAACTCCCACAAAAAGCGAGCGCTGCATTTCTTTGGCCTAGCTTTGGCCTGATCCCCTCAGCTTTAAAGCAGATCTTTCTTTCACATGCATAAATTGTGTACAAAAAGCAGCTTCTCAGTGCGGGGATCATTAGTTTTGAAATTTTTATGCATTGTATGCTCTGCTATATATACACACACACAAATATATATATATATATATATATGTATATTGCCTGACTTGTTTGCGATGGTGCAGGACTTGATTGTGGCCACGACTCTATAGTTCGGGCTCTCTTCCTGCTCGTGTAATTGTGAAAACAATTTAGACGAATTTTCCAGTTCAATTGCGCTTTTAATTTAAATTGCAGCAAACTTGGCTCGAATTGTTGTTGCCGTTGTCGTCGTCGTCTTCATCAATTGTCAGTGCTTAGTTTTCTTTTTCCCTCTTCATCTTCTTCAGCGCGAAAATTTTCGTAGATCTTAAGCGAGCTGCGACCCAAACTTGGCCAACTCAGCCAACTTGACTGTCAAATTTGATTCTTGGCCAAGGCGCATGTCAATTGACTACGGCTCGGACAAGACCAGTTAATTAACGTTCAGACAATTGATGGAGTAGAGCAATGTCAGCTGTTAGTGCCTCAAATGGCTTGAAGGGTTAATAAGCGGCAAAAGCATATATTGGGGCTAAATGCTCGCACAAATGTTGCCCATTTGCGTAAATGAAACAATTATTGGGTGATTTTCCCCAACTATTATTATCGCAAAGCTTGCCATCCAATAAATAGAGAATTAATAGGAATGCATTGCATATCATTTAAATGCAATTATATGGTAAACTATGGATCTCATAGCTGTGGGAGCGAATTGTTCAAGTGAAATAAAACTCATTTGTTTAGAAATTTCTGACTAGTCTGCCAGCTCCTCCATAAAATGTAGACGTATAAACATTTACCTTTTGAGCTTGTAAATTGAGTATATATACAATTTGATATCAAATGATCGTAAACTGCTATTGCTGTATGTTGAGCTTAACGGAAAACAAAGTCGGAACTTTGTTTGCTTTATATATGTAGGGTTTAGTTTATCTAAGCTAAAGATGTATGACACCTAAGACCTTAAGTACTACAACAAAGGTATTTGAATACATTATATAGCTTAAAGAATTAAGTATAATATAAGCTTTTAATTCCTTTACATTATTTTTGTGAATTATAAATATTTTATTATTTTTTTCATAATTATTGTTTATATTACTTTTTTATTAATTTTGTATTTATTATTATATTTGTTATATATTTTTTACCTAATTTCTATTTTTGTTATTTCACTCATTTTTATTAATTTAATATTTTTATATCCCTTAAAATTTAAATAAATTTTTATCATGATTCATTTTTGCTTTTCAATTTGAAAAATATTTTTACTATTTTTTTTATTCAGGTAAATTTATGATTCAATTATATTTAATATTTTAATATTTTTTGTTGTAGTTTTTAACTGGAAAAATCCAATCTTGTTTTGAATAAAAGAATTTGTTGTAGCAAACCGAGTAAATATTTGCCAATACTTGATATAAAATCTTCAATCTCAACAACTGTGTCCAATTTCCTTTTCTATTTGTATTTGCCTTTGTAGAATGCAACAGCTTTGACGCCTGCTTGGACTGGGCAAACATTTTGGCCATCTCGAGAGTGTGAAGAGAGCAGCGATGCGTAACGGCCTTTCTCTGTTTGGACATAGATTTAGGAGGCATAGACGAGGTGTGTGTGTGCGTGTGTGTGTGTGTGACTGTTCTCTGTTCCACTTGAAGTTCAACTGAAGTGAGCAGCATTAAGTTTAAGAACAACAAAAATCGACTGCTGCTAAATTTCACTGTTTATTTCTTGTACTCGAGCTTGAAATTAAAAGACTATAAACAATCGTGAGAATGGCACTTGAACATGTTCAAAACAATAATGGCCTTAAACGAAATGTACAAGAAACAACAGTCAACAGGCGAGGCGGGCAGGTGAGGTAAGTTGGTTAAGGGGGAGTTGGGCAATAGGCAACTAGCAATGGGCAACTAGGAACGGGCAACAGGCATCAGGCAACCGGCAACAGCAAGACAAATCAACAAGCCGCAGTCGCTGTGCTGCGCTGTGTGTTCGAGCCCAAGTTAAAGCCAACAAACGGAGCGAGCCATTCAGCCGCACGGACAGACAGGCGGCTAAATGAACAGACAGTCAATCAACTTTAAGCAAAAAGCACAACGACAACGACACGTCGCGACGTTAGCGGCGACGTCGACAGCGACTGCAGCGGCGACAGCATCAAAGAGAAATGCGCGCGCTCAGAGTTAGCTACAGTTTTAGCCTTAGCTACACACGATCATCCGTCGGAGATGACTTGAGGAGTGCGCTCCGAAAACTATTACAAAATGATCAAAACAGCTAAAAAGAATGAAAGGAGCTTAAAATGGAACAACAACAAAGGCAACAACATGAAAATCAAATCAGTGTGCGAACTGGACCTGAACCTCGGCATCTAAATGCTATTCTGGCTCAGACGGCGATCGTATCGGATTGGATCGGTTCGAGACTCGATTACAATAATTACAATCGGCTACGCGAGATTTACCAAATCACAACAACAACCACAACATCAGCAGCAGTAACCATATTGCAGCACACAGATACACAGAGATGCAGATACAGATACAGATAACTCAGCTATTACGTGCATATACAATTTTTATAAGAAATTGAAGTCAAGAAGCAGAATTAAAACAAAACTCATCAAGTGACGACGTCGAAGATGCAAACACACACACGCACACACACACAGATATATGTATGTAGAAGCCAAAGCTAGCTAGATACAAGTTACAGTATGGACTCGTTAGAGTGGATACAAGCATTTGCAGAAGCTAGGAAAAGAAATTTTAAAATAAATAAAGTGTTTTGAAAATATATAAATTTATATATAATATATATAGTATATAAGGTAAATTAAAATCATGTTTAGTTTAATTTACAAAGTTTTGTTTTCGAATTGGCTAGAGCAAATTATTGAAGAAATATATGTACAAATGTAGTTCGTTAATGAAGATTCATTACTGTATACACATGATATGACTCAATTGCTGTATGTGTGCGTGTGTGTGTTTATAGAAAAGGAACAGACAAACGGACAGAAAACGGACGGCAGATCCATCTTCAGCTTCATCAAAGCAGCGCAGCAATTTTCAGTTAACAGCTCTCAGCTTTGAGCACAGCGCGCACTGTAAGCGGTTAGCTGTGTATCTGCTAGATAGTGTGTGTGTGTGTGTTGTGTGTGTGTGTGAGTAAGAGAGAGAGAGAGAGAGGAGGCCAAGCATCATTGGCACAGCGAATCGGGCAAAACGAGAAATTGAAAAGACAGTTACAACGTCATAATGAAGCTAAAGGCTATGCTGGCAAAACTATACAAAATCGACGGCAAACCGCATAAAACACAAGCACACACGCACACAACCACAAACAGTCGTGATATTGTATACATATGAATGTATGTTTGCATGTGTATACATACATATGTATATCTGTGTGCGTGTGCATAGGAGCTTAGCTTTTTGCACAGGAAATTTAGCGAGAATAAAGAGCACGCCATCAATTGAAGAGTTTGGCGATTGAGAGCGAGAGAGAGCCGTGTGCTTAGTGGGAACAGTGAAAGGCGTGCGCTTGACAGCGCGTCAACAGTAGCGCGTGTAACGCACGCAGCGAGCATTGTAATTGGCATGCAGCGTTTTGCAACACTGCCAGCCATTAATGAAATAAAATGTGATCTCGTTTTATGATAATGAAATACGTACATACATATGTATGTACGTATGCATATACGTAAGTATGTAGGTGTGCATGTACATGTGCTCGTTCGTAAATTGCTGAAGCTTTGGGTATGCAACTGTTGCATCTTGATGCAGTCGCTGACACAGCATCAGGCATGCTGCAAACACACACCAGCACCCCAACGTGTGCATGTGTGCGTGTTTGTATGTTTTTCAACAAAATTTATTGATATTCATTGTTTGTTTGTTGTCGATCGTCGTCATCGTCGTCGTCTTTGTCGTTGCTCGCTGCCAACTGAAATCACAATTGTTGGAAAAAAAGCAAAGAGGAAAAAAAATTGCTGATGCTGCTGCTGCTGCTGCGACTATTCTTTGCCCGGGCCTTCACTTTTTCTAGTTGCACACATACAAACGTTTCCTGCGCGGACACCTATGCCCATACATATGTATGTGTGTGAGTGTGTGTAACTGAAGCTTACTTGCAACTGGCTTTTGGTCTATAATTCTTGTTTCTGGCTTTCGTGCCGAGGCTGCTGCTGCTGCAAGTAGAAAAAAAAAATACAGATAAGGAGCCAACGCTGAAGACGCGGCCCAGCATCTTTAAACAGGAAACTGCCTGGCGCTGTGGCTCCCAAAGGAAGCGGACCAGTAATATTTACATTTATTGCAAAATTATGCATATGCCAGTTGCTGCTGTTGTTGCCTTTGTTGTTATTGTATATAAACCATGCGCCATAGATGCGCACAGTTAATGTTTAAATACATATAAACATTGCTGGCAATTTTTTGTTTTGTATAATCTATGCGTACACATACATACATACATATGTCCATATACACATGCATAAATACATATATATGTACATACGTACATATGTACATCAATAATGCTTGAGCTCGGTTTCCAATATGAATGTGCTTTGGCATTTTACAGCACTAGATTTTTTTTTAAATATTGCTTGCTGTAGGCGTAGTAAGCACATAGTACAGTGGCTCTTAGATTGTTTCTACTAGTCCCTTAACAACATTTGTGCATCTATAAAATTCAACTAAAGGAGATATGAAAGAAAGTTAAATGCACGTTGTTAGTTTATTGAAATTTTTGTTTTTAGAATATTTTGGAAAAAATGTATTATAATTTATGAATATTATACCCTGGATTCTAATTTTCAGGGGTTCAGGGTATAAAAATCCACAAAAAGTAGTTGCACAGAAGATTTAAGCCAGTTATGCTTACATTATAAAGTAAAACTGTTTATCATTTAGCTATTTTTATATGTAAATATGTACATACATATGTAAATGTTGATTTGAATGCCTTCCAATCTGAATGCGATTTTGCCTTGCTTTCCAATATACTGATTCGTCTTGGCGTTTTACAGCACTGCCTTTTTTGGTGAGCTACTGCGTCGTGACTATTGTTTTATTGCATGTTTTATTCAAATATACACTGAATATGTACTATATGCAACTAAATAAATCATGCAACCTTTTATTGTTGAATATTGTACGGATGTGTGCATGTGTGTGTATGCATATAGAGTCATGCTAATGCTATATACATATGTATCTTTCTTACAGACAAAAAGCGTTTGTAATTTGAGTAAAGTTTATTAGATCGTGAACTCATTTTGTTGGGCGGCCCATGTATTTTCGTGGTTGGCCGAGAAAAGCAAGCGGTGTCCCAAAGATTTTCATGGAAAGTTTCTGTGGTTGGGCTGTTGCTGTTGCTGCTTTCTTGTTTATGAAAATTTCACGCTAGTCGAAAGAATTATTAATTGCGCAGCAGCAACAGCAACAACCACCGCAGAAACAACAGAAGCAGCAGCAACAGCAACAGCAGCAGCAAAAGCAACGGCAGCAGCAGAGCTGCCTACCAAGTGGGAATTATGCATCGCTGCGCAGAAGCAGAACGCAGCACACACACACACACGCGCAAACATAGTCTGTGCTGGTGTGCGTGTGTGTGTAAGCGCGTGTAAAAATATGGTAAACATGATAATACGTAATAAAAAATAGTGTAACAGAAAAGGAAAATAGTATAAAATCAGGTACAAATTTTCACCAAAAACCGTTTGCGTCGCTTGGCCGCGGTTGTTGTTATTGTTGTTGTTGTTGTAAAAGCTGGCTGGCTGACTTTGACGATTTGGTGGTCACACAGTGTGAAGAATGGGCTAGGAAATATTGTATGCCAGCTCTGTTTGTTGGGCTGTTACAGATTTGAACAGATCTACCCAACCAGATAACAAATGAAAGTGCCTGCCAGATCAGCGTGTGGATGGGAGCTAAAGGCGAAGGAGACGGAGAAGCAGGAGTAGGAGGTAGAGGCGGAGGAGGAGGAGTGGGCAACAGAACGAGTTGCCTGCTAACAACAAATGAAATGGGCTTAAATGCATTTCGCTGCAGCACAAGAGAATTACGGAAAGTCAACTCCATTTGACATATGATATATGTATGTATGTATGTCCACTCTGTGTCTGTGTGTGAGTGTGTAAATGCATTATGAAGAAAGATCTAAGATATGCATTTTGTTTAAGCTTCACTGTGCCTGTGAATAGCGGCAAAAGTCAGCTAGCTACAACTATTAAAATACAATTACAGCAACATCTGGGAATACAATCATTAACAGTGTTGGAAAATGCTAAAATACAATGAAAGCAAAGTTGTGACTAAATTCAATTAATTATACATTAAAATATAAGCACTGGCTACTGAGATATTAGGCTTTCAAATGTGAATTATGTATGTATGTATGTAGCTGCGGATGGTATATGTTTCTCAACGGTGTTGTAAAATGCCACACATCGAAGGGGTCATTAAACTCTACAGTAATAGATATATAATTAAGATAGTATGCAGAATTATCTAGTAATTTCGATTCATCATTCTTACCCAGCTTTAACAACACTGTTGCCTAGTGTTGTAAAATGTGCCTTACGACTCGTCGTTACTGATTTACAGCACTGCTCGAGTTTGTCAGTGTCAATAGTGAAAAACAGCATGCGCTTAGATATGGCTAGCAAATTGTTAAATTTTGGCTCCAAGCTATTTAAATCCTCGAAGAACTTCTTCAGTGGTGCGTATGGAAAGCGCAGCGCTTCGTCAATCGATGGCAGAAAATGGACTGGAGCACGTCAGAAGCTGTTGACATTTGGGGCGCTAACTGGGGCTACCGGACTTCTGATGTACGCCATGGACGTCAGTGTGGACGCGTCCAGCGATAGTGTGCATCCGGCCAAGCAGCTGTGGCCGCACAAGGGCTTCTTGTCGGCCATCGACAAGGAGAGCGTGCGTCGCGGCTATCAGGTGTACAAGGAGGTGTGCTCCTCCTGCCATTCGCTGCAGTATATTGCCTATCGCAATTTGGTGGGCGTGTGCATGACCGAGGCGGAGGCCAAGGCTGAGGCGGAGAGTATTACCGTGCATGATGGACCCGACGAGGAAGGCAACTACTACGATCGTCCGGGCAAACTGTCCGACTATTTTCCATTGCCCTATCCTAATGAAGAAGCTGGACGTGCTGCAAATAATGGTGCTTATCCGCCGGATCTCAGCTACATTGTGTCCGCACGCAAGGGTGGCGAGGATTATGTGTTCGCGCTATTGACTGGCTACTGTGACCCACCGGCTGGATTTGCTCTGCGCGATGGCCTCTACTTTAATCCGTACTTCAGCGGAGGCGCCATTGCCATGGGCCAGTTGATATCCAATGAGTCGGTTACCTATGCTGACGAAGATGTGGCCCCGTCAGCCAGCCAAATTGCCAAGGATGTGACCACATTTCTGTGTTGGACTTCTGAGCCGGAGTATGACATTCGCAAGATTCTCGTTATAAAGGTGTTCATCATATCAGCATTTCTGATTGGCATTACCTACTACATCAAGCGCTTGAAGTGGTCTGCGTTGAAGTCTCGCAAGATATTCTATTTGCCTGAGATACAAGAGAAAGCCAAGAAAGCTGCCGAGGATAATTGTCCAAAATAATAATTATTGTAACAACATTATGATACAGCAAACATTTTATAATTTAATTATAATGTTATAATTGAAATGCGCGGGCTGAAAGCGTTTTGATTGTGATGTGAATAAACGTGATAGAGCTGTTATTCAACAAAATCATCGTTTCAATATATCGATAGAAGTTTATTGAGTCTCTATTTAGTTATTCAAAGGTCTGTCTCCCGCATTAAATAATATAAAACATAGAATTCAACTGACAGGGGTGATATTTATTAAAACAGAAATTTATATTATTTATTTTTAAATATCAGGTGAATTCAGTAGCAGTGTTGCTGTGCAGAACAGTGAGGCTGCCACCTATCGTATAAATGCGGCGAATTTTCAATACCGGCTCGATTAATATTTCGGCGAAAACAAAGCTGCAGCAGCTGATTTATTACAAACAAAGATAAAAATATTTTAATGGCATCTGTCGATTTTTTGAAAGCGCTGCAATTTGCGGCATACAAACATAGAAAACAACGCAGAAAGGATCCCGACT